AAAGTGATTGTAAAATAAACAATGCAACAATATGTTTAGGTAACTTGTGTATGGCTTTAGTGCCTCAACAGGCCTGATTGGCGCAGGTAATAATGCAATACAGGCTTTACAGCTTTACAGGGAACATACATGTGTAATTAACAACCATGGATATGCAATCATTGGCCGAAAGACCTATTTTGTTTCGCTATCTCAATTTATTTCTATTGAGTTATCAAAATACAGTAAATGTGTAAGTAAGGAAGCGACCAATATAAAGAAAACTACAGATTATAGGACTGTACAGATGATATTAGAAGTACAAGAAATACACCTTTTTGGAGAAAAAAACAAATTGCGACATGTCGGTCTCTCAATTCTCATATTTTCACATTAAACATATCCATTTCTATAATAAGTAGTACAGATTCATACAACATTGAACAGACAATCCCCTATCCAATGCTGCCAATAAACGATCTTCATATTAAGCAAATATTTCTGTAACGATGAATTTTCAAACCACCCTTTTCAAGAGTAAAATTGATAATTTGCAATGCTTTTTTCTATAGAGACTAAATTCTGCCTTTTGACAAACAGTAAAAACTGATTATTTGTCTACGGAATTATGAGCTTTTATTAAATGGCAAAGCATTACATTAGTAATAATAGTAGTTGCCGTTTTTAGCCCGGGATTGCTCCACTTTTCGTAATGTTGAGATATCCGAAGCTAGCAAAAGCCTAGAATTAGCCAGCTATTGCTAGGCTAGGCTTGGCTAGTTTTACGCAACATTACCACTGTTAATATTGTGTGTTCACAGATGTACGCCTTGTTGGTGGTCCAACCCCAAATAAAGGCACAGTTGAGACCAGGGAAGATGGTGGTGCATGGGAGACAACATGCGGAGCATATCTTGATTTTCATAACGTCATTGTCATATGCAGACAGTTGGGATTCACAGGAGCAAACATTGCAATAACAAACACATCTTATGGACAGAATTCAACTCCCACCAGAGGGTTCAATTGTATTGGAGGTAATGACATATAATTTCAACTTTTGAAAATTGTATTGCCTATTCTGCCTGTTTGAGGAAACAATACAACTTAAATATATGTGCGAGTATACTTCAGGTCCTTAAAAACACATGACAAAAGAGATTTGGGAGATCTTGCCCTTTAAATAGAAGTAGAAGATTTTGCCAATGTACGGTACAGTACTGTATAACCTGCATGCAATGCATACACGATAGCTGGCTTCCAATAGGCTACAGCCAGCCCGGCGATCGAGCTAGTAGCCGTGAATTGCAAACTGGACTGATCTCAGTCTTCCCTCGATCGAGTTCTCTTTTCCCTGTTTATCTGGTACGACGACTTAATTTATCGAAAATCATGAATTAATCGGCCTAATCACACATCTTCGTAATGAATATCTGGACGATTTTATTCAAATTTGTCGCCTATTTTGCTCCAGAAGAATTGTTAGGTTAGCATGAAAAATGTCCTTCGCACTCCCAGATCAGACACATACACGCTAACTTGCCCTCAGAATGTGTGATTATATTTCCGATTCTTATGCTCAAATGTTATGGGGAATAACGTAAAAATCAAACAAAAATTTGTGAAAACTATTATTTATGCGCTGTATCTCATTCAAAGGGCCAAAAATAAAGGAAATACACCACTGGCAGTAAATATACAAACATATATAAAAGCTGCAATGGGCATCCAACATTGTCCCGAATGTGTGATGTAGAGTAGTTCACACCGTGACGTCACCGTTATCGCCGCATGTGTTTTAATATCGCCGTCATTTCACTCTGTGAGTGGGTTCTGGAAAGGGTGTCAAAATTGCATTTAATTTATTCCTCGCAATAATTGGCGTTCAACAAGTACTTTACTCATTTTCTTAAGGCTCTAAGCAATCTGTGGAGGTATAATTTACACATTTTCAAATTTCAATGAACCTGCTCTTTAAAGGTGACTTTTCCTCAGCGAACATTCATTTCACATAGTTTATCAATATAATTATTTTCCAATATAATTTGAATATATTGTTGTGTGACTGGTGTTAAAATGGATCGTACATTCATATAATGTTCTTTACATTTTGATATTTCAGATGAAGCTGACTTGTCAGAGTGTTTATTGATACCAACAGGATGCGTAACAGCAGGAGCAGCTTCGTGTCATGGTAATTACTTCTTCTGGTGAAATTATATTGATATAAATGGAAAAATGAATGAATGTAGAATACAAATATAAAGGAATACAAAATTATTTACCCTTTCATTATTGCACAAATGCAAATTAAAACCTTATTTTCCGCACCCCTCGAAATTACGGGTCAGCAGGTGTCATATTTGACGAAGTTACAGTGACGACATTATATGTAGACCCCATTGGTGCACCTACACTGTTGGTCATAATGGTGGAAGATTTTTTTTTACCCCAATTTATGGGATGATTCGGAACATGATTTGTTCCTAATAGATGTAAATAATGGTATACATTCTCAGATTGTATTGAATAATAATTTGCGAGTGTTTGTTTTTCGTGACTGCTAAAGCATGTGTGTGCTACTATGCTAATCAACTAGGAGACCTACGTCCTTAAGTCATAACTGACAGTAATGAGGATTAATGCCTCACAAAAGGGCACTAATATAGCTGATCGACACGGTTTTTATTCTGGGGCCTCACAGTTACGACGCCATTGCTTAGCCACTGAATCATGACTGTACGCAGCGGGGGCTAGGGTACGTCGCCGCCCCCACAAATTCAAAAAACTATGAAAATGCAATAAATTATCAAAAATTTATTGCATTTTCCCCCGGTCCCCAACATTAAAAATTCTTCTGTAGGGCAATGCATTATGGGTCATATAGGTTTTTTTTTTTTTTTTTTTATCTTAGGGGTCGGGGCAAAATGCAATGAATTATTGAAAATGTATTGCATTTTCTTTGTTTTTTGTATTTGTGGGGGGCGGCGATGTACCCTAGCCCCCGCTGCGTACAGTCATGATTCAGTGGCTAAGCAATGGCCTCGTTACTGTGAGCCCCCAGGATCAAAACCGTGTCGATATGCTTTATTAGTGCCCTTTTATGAAGCATTATTCCTCATTACTGTCAGTTATGACTGAAGGACATAGGTCCCCTAGTAGATTAGTATAGTAGCATGCACATGCTTTAGCAGTCACTCAAAACAACAAACACTCACAAATTATCATTCAATAACATCTGAGAATGTATACTATTATCTAGATCTAGTAGGAATAAATTATTGTTAAAATCTTTCCATAAATAGGGCTAAACAAAAATTATTCGACCATTATGGCCAACAGTGTATATAGCTGAGGCGATGAGCCGTGCTTACTTAATGCAAAGTCATTGTGAATATATGCGTACTCCACATAAAATGATGTCATCAAGTCGATAGCAAGCTTTTAGGTCGACAACTTCCGATTTTCAAAGCTTTAGATTTTTGAGTTCTCAGACAGCTGACACTCCTCTGACAGACGCTAAGATAATTTATACTAATGTAATCTATGACTTATAAGCTTTCCGTTTATATGTAATTCATCCATTTCATTTTTCAGTTCGGATACGATCTTTAAAGAAATGTTGAAATGTCTGTACTTTAGAAAAACTGTTAAGCTGATATTTTAAATACTACCAGCATGGCCACCCAAAACATTCATTGCAAAATATGCTTTAATTGTTGGTCCATGCAATCCATTTGACATTCCAACAAAGAAAGTTCCGCCAAAGCTAGCAATATTCGAGTGGGCAGAGATTTTGACTGTGTGTTAAAGCCACACTGTCCTACTTGTAGCTACTTGCTCCCTCTATATAGAAAACAATGCCTAATCGGTGACCATTGGTCCCCAATGATCATCTTTTTCTTATGTTTTATCAGAGCTGGGTTGATGAGATAACCACCAGTGCAATGACCTTGCAGGGTGTTCCAATCCCTCCCATAAACTAGTACAGATAAGCTTTAAAGTGAAAATGTCATTAGAAAATGCCAAATAGCATTTTTTTTAAAAACTTATCTGGCCCCTCGATGCCCAAATATGTGGTGGCCCAAATATTGTTATATATCACAAATTATCTGGGGCTGTAGCCCTCAGCTCCTCACTTCCTACACCAATGTTTATTACTGTAGTCGGGTTGTCAGGCGTTAATGTGTGTCCTCACAGGTGATGGATATTTCGGATAATTTGAGCATAATATGAACCACAGAGTGTTACTTTGCAACGGCAACATCGGTACAGCGATGAGTATTTCTTATTGCATCTAGGTTTGTAACGAGTCAATTACATGCGGGATGCGTTTTTTGTACGATTGCATCATGCTATTGTTTATTCTAATATTATGCAGGTGAAGGTTACCTTGGATGCTTTGCGGAAAAACACCCTGATCCAGTTTTATCTGGTAATCACGTATCCAATAATTCAACCATGACCATTTCTTATTGCATCGACTTTTGTATGAGCTCTAGCTCAGCTAAGTATACATACGCTGGAGTTGAACGTGGATACGAATGTTTCTGTGGTGAGGCGAGTGATGACTATGCCCAACATGGAATGGTATCAGATGATTATTGTCATTTCGAATGTTCAGGAGACCCTACCGAGAGCTGTGGTGGGTTAGGATTCATAGCTATCTTTTCGAGTGAGTATATGGAGATTTGTATAAGGTTACACATATACATCCACCGCTGATAATGTGCAGCGACCAATACCGTCAACATTCATATCGCCTAACATATGGTTTAAATAACTACTGCTCAATCATACATAAGTTTATGACTGTTATGCCTATCATTATGTTCGAGAGACCCATATCATAGAAACCCGGCGTCTCAGTGTTTCCCTCCATTTCCACTTTTTTTTTTCTAACATTAGCATTCATTAATTTACAGCAAATGAATAAAGTTACTTTGTAATTTCGAAGTGAAAATGACTTATACCGTGGCCTGTGTGTAATGTTAGAGACTTACCTTGTAACTCGTCTGTTTCACGTATATGTAGTTCACGTCGAGACTGTTGAAACGACACCCACCGTCGTGTCAACTGCGAAGGTTGACGAAGTGACCATTCAACTAAGCTCAGAGATGACCAGTCATACCAGGGATGCTGTGACGTCATCAACAATGACCACACTCTTGTCCACGCCCACAACGCTTCAACAAAATTGCAATTGTTCTTGTAATTATAGATTTTTATAGAGTTTTCTCTTACATGAAATTGATATAGATCCAAATGTACATTATTTATGGTACAACTGAGATTAAAAAACGATATTAAACATACATGAAGAAATAAAATCTTTAAAAAGATCTTGGACGAAGTATGACTTCATGCATTTGTAAAAATGAGGAAGAAGAGGAGGAAAGAAACTTAAGGAACAAAAAATATAAAGAAAATATAGAAAGAAAAAGAAGATGACACACAAACAGAGAATAAAATTCCTTAATAAAATGTAATAACATCAATGCATTTGCTTGAAGTTATCCGATTAAGTTTTATGGATATTCCAGTCAATCATCCTTTAAAATTAACGTTCATTACACGGACGGGTCTGTAAAACATCGAAGAGGAAACCAACTCATATCTTCATGTAATACTCTACTTCTATACGTAATTCTTATTTCATTGTTTTTCCTCCGATGTTATTACCGAAGCTGTGGGTGTTGGAGTTGGTGAAGGCGTTTTCATTATTTTACTGATCGCGACCATCATTGTCTTGGTAATTTACATCCTCCGAATTCGAAAGTGAGTATCACATTTCTTTTGTAAACGTTTCTGTTTCCTATTTGGCAAAGAAGACGGCGATAAAGGGAACAGGAATTGTTATATCGCTACCACACATAGGTAAAGGTAGAGGTATCGTAGTCACGTGGTCTTAAAAACTTAACTTGAGATGCGGAAGTTGTGGTTTCGAGCCCCGACTCGGCGCTCATATACTGTCAAGACATTAATCTACATTCGTCAGTATTCATACTAATGGTTACCGGTATGAAGGAATTCCCTAAATGCCGTAACCTCTCTCTCTCCTTGGGAGTGACGTCAGGGATCAATTGTTTAGGAGTGAATATCGATTGATTTCAGAGTGCTCTCTAAAAAAGAAGAAAATAGTTAATGTTCACTCTATTTTCACTACATTTTTCCTAGAGAGTAAGCACCAAAATACGTAGCTTATAGCTCAGTCTAGATTATAATAATATGGGAGCGTCTTGAGCACATTGCATGGCAGATATAAGCGTTGTATAAGTTTATTGATTACATTCGTTTCCACTACTTTTAGGTTTCATGTTTATTATATCATGTACACGGGAGATGTTCATAAGAAATTGTTACTCCCCCTCTCACCAAATATGAAATATGAGGTCTATAATTTCTTCACAGTAATTAGACTTCTGCAACTCGTCCCTATTCGGCCATTCATTTTACCCTCTTTTTTTGTCTCATAGAAAACAAGACTCTAATCATGGTCAAACCACAAATGATATGACTTTGGTCCAGGCCTCAAGTACGCATGACAGAGATACCGGTTTCTATCATGACATTCCGGACATCAGAACACCAGTTCCATCATCAACACCTGCTGGCGGTTCTCACTATTCCTCGAATATATATGCCACAGATCCTGCCGATACCGGTATACCGACAGAATCCACGCGAAGCTCTACCAGGATCGCGAAAGACGGACTTGCTACCGACACCGTGGCAATGAAAAAGAAAAGAACTGGAAAGGATGGAGATCCATATGTTGAGATAATTTAGTCAATCGAACAAAGACACAAAAATAATTCCTCAGAAAGTCACCACTGATAAGAGGTAGACAAATGTTCATTCAAATAGCCTGCTGACACATGGGAATTGATCATATTTTTGGAGTTACCAAGTACTTACATTTAGATGCAAAACAAATTATCCGGCTTTGCTGATAACTTCTGGTAAACGGGAAAAATGTGTACATACACTGTTGGTCATAAATGTGGAATATTTTTTCTTTTACCCCCAATTTAAGCAATAATTTTGACAATGTGTGTGCGTGTATTGTGTTTTTACAGAGGTGTGTCAATCAGATATGATTATTTACTTCCGAGGGACCGACCTTTAAACGTCACCATCCGAAAGACGTGACTCAGTTTCGAACCTGCGTCCTCGGCTGAATCAGTTTGTAACTTCCACTGTTAGCTGCATTACGTGATTTAAGTGTTTTTTTAAATAGTAGCATAGACGTATACTGGTCACTACATATTTAGCAATAGACAAAGGCAATTTTTTTTTTGCGTTTTAGCCCTCCATAGGCTATTTTATTGAGTCAAACAAACATTTTAACTAAACGAAAAACAGAATAAAGGCAAAGATGAATGAAACAGAAAACCCAGTTTAGATATGCCATTGTTTGTAGCGATATAATGCTAATTAGTCTATCTGACAATTTGAATACTTGTAAAAGAAATAAAAGGCTGTGTAGTTGGTGGTATGATAGTCAGTCATTTAATGTATGCAGATGATCTCGAGTTTGCTCAAGATTTGTTTTGGTTATGGATATGATAATGATGTCCAATATAATGCAAACAAGAATCATGTTATGATAATCAGATGTAAGGAACACCGTAGATTGGTATTCCCGGATTTGTATCAATGTCTGTACAGAGGTCATGTATCTTGGTTATTTCTTTACTGAGGACCTCAGTGATGGTAAAGATATTAGTCAACAGTGTCGTTAGTTATAAGCTCAAGGTAATATGCTTGTTAGGAAATTTCCTATGTGTTCTCCGGATGTGAAGGTGATTTTATTTAGGGCTTACTGTACACCTCTGTACACTTCGCATCTGTGGTGTAACTTTAAGAAGAACGGTTGGTACAGGCTTACTGTGGCCTATAATGATGCCATGAAAATGCTTCTTAGGGTACCTAGGTACTTCAGTGCAAGACTAATGTTTGTTGAGTTGAATGTTCCAGCCTGTTCGACTGTATTACGAAATATCATGTATAAGTTCATCCAGAGAGTGGATGTCTCTGAGAATGGTATTTTAAAGGTGTTAGTGAACCCCTCGTACAGTTGCCTTAGGTACACATCGGGCCTCTGGAAATTTCGGCTGAATAGCCTGACACATGGGGATTGATCATATTTTTAGAGTTACCAAGTACTATCTAGTATCCAGTCTCTCTTGGTTGCAGTATAGTCTTTGTTGTTTGTTATAGTATATATTTATATATTATTAGTATATTATTCTGGTTAGTTGAGCAGAGATTGTTACAAGTTAAAACTTCAATATATTGTTATACTTGTACTTTTTTTTTATTTGTACAGTTACATGTACAGCTTAGAGTTAGATTGTTATACTGTAAACAACCTTACAGATATAGGTTACATGTAACACTGTTTATACTCAGCTCTTTTCCCTATATATCTGTGTAAAATATGTTTTATGGACCTCTGCTTTGTGCAGCTGAGTCTGAAATAAAGTTCTGAATTGCTTTGGAAAAAAATGAATTACTTGCTGCCAGCCGAAGATGGCGTGATCATTAAATTATGACGTACGGCTGGCGAATTTTTTTTCCGTACTCGAGAGAGCAAAAATCCCATGTGCGCATGCGCGTGGACTTATGATTTCTCTGCTACTTCCCATACGAAATGTACATGTATTCGCATGTACTGTGCACGATTCGCGTTCTACGAGTAAACGATGGCATAGTAGTCTTCAAACACAGACTCTGATTTGCCAGTTTGACAAATCAATATGCGTATGTGTCGCGATGTGCTTATTCAAGTCTGTGTAGTTGTATGATTCAGACCCAGTAGTGCATATGGAAATACATTGCAACTTGTATAGAATGGTATAGTAGTCTGCAAGCACAGACGCTAATCTGACAGTTTGACAACATACTAGTAGTGTGCTGAGAAGTACTTTATTCAAGTCGCCAACTTGTATAGAATGGTATAGTAGTCTGCAAGCACAGACGCTAATCTGACAGTTTGACAACATACTAGTAGTGTGCTGAGAAGTACTTTATTCAAGTCTGCGTAGATGTATGATTCAGACCCTACTGGTGCGTGCGTTAGAAATGCATCTCAATGTGTAGAGTGTAGTATAGTAGTCTGCAAGGACTATTGTGTATTGATGAGTAGTGATTTTATGCAAGTTTGTGTAGTTTAATGATTCCAGACCCCATGGTAGGCCTATGTATTGTGCCACTGCTCTCTCACACTCTTTCTCTCTCTCTCTCTCTCTCTCTCTCTCCATATCTCAACTGTCAGATTAGCGTCTGTGCTTGCAGACTACTATGCCACTCTGCAAGTTGAGATGCCTTTCCAATACACGCACCAGTAGGGTCTGAATCATAAAACTACACATATTTGAATATAAAGCACTACTCAAGACACTATGTTGTCAAACTGTCCGATTAGCGTCTGTGCTTGCAGACTACTATACCATGCTATTCAATTTGGGATGCATTTCTGTAAGCACTAAAATGTCTGAATCATACAACTACTCAGACTTGAATACTAGTACTATTGCTACGCACGATATATGCGTAATTGTTTTGTCAAACTGGCAAATCAGAGTCTGTGTTTGAAGACTACTATGCCATCGTTTACTCGTAGAACGCGAATCGTGCACAGTAGATGCGAATACATGTACATTTCGTATGGGAAGTAGCAGAGAAATCACAAGTCCACGCGCATGCGCACATGGGGTATTTGCCCTCTCGAGTACGGAAAAAAAATTCGCGTACGGCTGGGCTGGTGAGCGTATATATAAGTTCGTTGATAGCGCCATCTTCGGCAGTATGAATCAATGTTGAAGGGACTATAGAATATGAAGAATCGGCCATATTCTAGACTATATAGGTGCCTGCAGCTGGGACGGTCCGTCGATTTTTTGTTTTGTTTTGTCTTCTTCTTTTTTTTCCTCTTTGGGATGGTATTTTTTAGTTTTACATGCCTTAATACATATTTTTTGTATTGATGAAACATTTTTTCCTTAACAAACGGTTTTAAAAAAATCAATAAAATGCCGACCGTTGGGGTCGATCGCATAGGGCAATACATAAACTTTGTTTGTTAAAGGTATAGACCAGAAAAGGTTGATCATCTAGCAAAAAGGTATTGGTGTGTACTGCAAAGTTATGGAATCATCAAACTGATAAGAAATTTGGTCAAAACATATTCTTTCACATGATTGGTAAAAAGAGCTTCCATTTCATTTTATTGAAATGGAGGTGTTTCCAAAATTGGTCCATACCTTTAAGCCTCACGGGAGATTAGCCAACCCGGTTAGAGTTGGGCACACTATGGCGAATACTGCTTTGTTGGGCAAGAAACAAAACAGAAGAATATACGCCATCTTGTGACCTACTGAAACGAAGATGGTGAAGCTCTGTGTATAGGTGGCCCTTGTGGCAATCATAGAACCCCTGTATTACTGTGGTTTGTTAGATTGTAGAAGAAACAGGATTACCAACAACTGTCTGTACATATAAAGCAAAACAGCTATTTGCAATGTTTTGTGGCGTCTGGATATTGTTTTATTTGGCAACAAAAATAAACAAATGAATTCTTCAGATATTACTGTTCTGTTCTGTTCTGTTCTGGTTATATCTGTATTTTAAGGTTCTTGGTAATCAACACGAAAAAGGCAGTCATATTGTAAGAAACGTGTAAACGTTTAGGTGCATGGCACGTGTAAACTGTGTAAAACGTAACACGATAAATTCAAATACAAAATTTCTCTGGCTGCCTATAATCATGAATTATTCTTCATATCTCATGCTGCACTAAAAACATACATGTATTACATTCCTAGTTAATTATGATATTCATGTTGAAAATGGCTTTAAAAAACTACAAAATCATCGCGATTTCGAAAAATATATTGATATAAGATAATCTGAGTAGTCGACGTATATAAGTAAATGATCCAATCCGAAATACGAAAAACTAATTATATTTTAAAGATAAATTATGAGTACGGGTCACGCGATTATATGGTGAAAGAATCTGGATACAGTTGACATGGTTGGGACATGTTGATTATGCAGTACATACGAACTGATGTGTCATTTTGGCTAGACATCAATCTACATAATGCTACTCCATACCGAGGATAGAAATGAGGACCTGTTAGAACGGCGAAAGCTTTTGAGGTAGACATTGCCAAATACCCTCACGGTGACCATACGGTACCAATATTCGCCAGAGAGTAGATTTGTGCTCACTGTGCCATGCTGTGTAAGTGAAAGAATCCGATGAACAGGGTAATAATGATATATATTAAGCGCTTAGAGACGGTATTCCGTATTAAGCAATACTTAAATCCAGATTAATAGTTTTTATTAGGCCTGTTGAGAAATTTTCAGAACGAAAACAATGAAAAGTATTTGACTCAGTTGTGATGATGATCACATGCATCGCACGCATAAATTGGTATATCCATCGAAATGTATGGTCTATTCTTTTACGCTATCTTTATTCATATTTATTAATTGGGGATTTTCGAAGCAAATCTTTTGAGTGGAACAATTTTTACTGTAATATTCTTCCAAACTGACATACAAAGTATCAATCAGCTCACATGTGTATTTTATATCTTTACCAGAACTCAACCTTCTGTTAAACTTTGTGTTAGCATAAAGGGTAGGGTCAAGTCATATCGACGCAAGTCAAGCCGGGTATCTTTTACTAGACAGAGTAGTTTGTATAGCATATTACACTGTGAGATCAAACAAGAAGTATGGTAATGTGAGATGAAGTTAAACTGAGAGTAACATAAACTTGACAAAGTGAGTATTATTATGTGACCGCGACACCCAAAACGACATGAAGAGATAAACATGGTTTTACATTCTGTAACAAATCTGAGTAGACATTCATTCAACATAAGAATAATATTATACCATACAATCTACAATTCAATGAAAATGATTAGCTATGCATTGTAGAATAGCATGAATACCATACACCATAACAAAAAATAGACATATGAAAACTAATGATTAAATGGTAACCCTTGATTAGCTCATTCCGTACAGAGATAGAACAACTGGCTACCTACATGCATGTTAAGTGCTAGTTGCATATAATGTTACCCTCAAACGAGCAAGTGCAAATATATAATTCGATAAGTGCCTGATGACTACATCTGACTAAATAGTCTTAAAAACGCTCCTTTTTGTTAGATTATCTAGTTGATCAAGAATGAAAAAAAAATTAGTTGATTTTGGCAGTAAACTGTTATTATCAAACCGGGCAAATTTGACCTACCCTTAGGAACACTATTTTTTTTATCTATCTTATCTCACCATTTGAGTATCTTTTCAGTGAATACAGCAGCATTTTCAAGGTTCAAAATTCCGTTTTAACTAACTTTTTGGTTACATCGAAATTCCCACTAATATGATATCTAATCAACAGATATCGTTAACACATAAAACAACAATCATCTATTCTTTATTTTATTTGTTTCGTTGTTAAAACGGCGCACAGTGGGCCAGGGAGGGACCAAAGTGCGCCAAAACTATTTTTGGGTGATTTATTTTTTTCAATTTTTTTCTTGCCCAGTTGAAAGGTAATACATAGAGGAATACCTCAGTGAAATATTTAATTCCGGTATGCACAATAAGGGTATAAATTTACTACTTCAATCAGCAAAATCCTACATATTCACAGTTTTAGTGCAAAAGTGACCTATTTTATAAATCTTTCAATTCAACATGAAGTTTTTAAGTTATTGATATGAAATTGCTCTCACATATTTCTGATAGTTCATTTCATTGAATGAATGGGTTAAGATTAATAGAAACACAATCTTCATGATATATTATAGGGTAATTCACTGAAAAATGGACTAATTATCCATGTTTTTTATAAATCCAGAAGAAATGTTTAGATCTCCGCGGTGTACCGCTTAAATTTTAATACCACCCTTTCCTCTGATGTCTAAGCTTCAAGTTGATACCAAATTTGGCTGCCCGATCTTGCCCGTTGTTATGTTAGAGCCGATTTCCCTTGCCACATTGCCCCGAAAATGTGGGTTTTTGGGGTCCGCGGATGAATCATGAAGGATTCGTGGTCATAAATCACGGCGCGAGGGGGCGCGTGACACTTGTTCTAACACCGCAGACCAAAATAAACACATTTTTCGGGGCAATGTTGCAAGGAAAACAGCTCTAACATAATAACGGGCAGAATCCGGCTGCCAAATCTGGTATCAACTTAAAGCTTAGACATCAGAGAAAATGTTGGTAATACAATTCAAGCGAAAATCCCTGGAAATCTAAACATTTCCTCTGGATTTATAAAAAAGAAATCCCCAAACATAAGTTTTGGCGCACTTTGGTCCCTCCCTGGCCCACTGTGCGGCGTCTCTCAAACGGTATAGATCTCATTTTCAACCATATCCGGCTCATATTGATCTCCAGAAGACGATTCGTCAGCTTTAGCATAAAGACCATGCACTATGCCATCATCGTTCCCATCCGGCTGTCCTCGGGGCCTATCGGGTATTGCATAGAGAGAGCCGAAGTCTTCCGAAGTGTCATTCCGAGATCCATTTCCATTCTTATCGGGCGAGGCGTAAACTACGCTCAGCCTGTCGTTCTTGTTCGGCATGGTTCGGGGGCGCATCGGACTTACATTGTCAACAGAAACATACGGTGCCATTTCATTGGTTATTCCTTCGTAGTCGTTCCGTGGTTCATTTCCATTCTTGTCGGGCATGGCGTAAACTACGCTTAATCGGCCGTTGTTGTTCTGCACGGTGGCAGCGGTGTCAAATGAAGCGTAGGGCTTCATTCCATCGCCTAGCACTTCATCATCGATTCCCCCGTAGATATTCATTGACTTGGTAGGATTCAAATTTACAAGAAGTCCACTCTTGTCTCCTCCGGAAGCAGTAGGAACAGGGGCCGCAGCATTATTTGAAGCTTGTAACCCAAGCTGGGAACCTCCTTCAGCCGACGGCTCTTCAAGTGCTGCGTTGCTGATACCAAGGCCATTGGCTCCTGTAGGCGTGCTGGCTGTAGCCAAAGACATCCTCTGTGAGGAAGTGGGGTCCTTTCGTCTCTTCCGGGACCTGAATTGAGAAATGTTGATATAAATATAATTTTGATAATAATATTAATCATAATCTGGAATTTATATGGCGCGTACGAAATACGAAATACCGTCTTTAACGCTTTACAGATCTCATTACCATGGTCATCGGATTGATTCACGTACAATATGTATCATTTTACCCTCTGGGGAGTATTCCAACCATTTAGTTACCGTAAGGGCATATTATAATTACTAACGCTAAGGCTTTCATCATCCTACCAGGTGCCCATTTCTCTCCTGGGTATGGAGTGACAAAACAGATTAATGCAATGCCAAATTAGTGCCGTTTTGGGGAAGGAACATAATCATGTACGAGGCTTATCTTTACCGTGGTTCAAGCTTCGAATACAGGTTGTACCTGCTATGTTCTTAACCAGGTACCCGATTCTCCATCAGGAAAAGACGGTCGGGATAGTTTTGTTTAATACAGGCGCGTACGCAGGATTTTTTCAAAGGGGGGGGGGGGGGGGGTTAACATTTATAAATCGGTCCGAAAATTTCGCAACGACTCAGCCAGCCGCTGAATAAGCGGGGGGGGCGGTCCCAAAAAATCGCAGCGACCAAGCCGACCGCTGAATAAGGGGGGGGGGGGGGGGGGGGGGGGGGGGGGGGGGGGGGGGGGGTAAGAGGGACACTTTTTTTTTTTTTTTTTTACTCGAAATTTGGAAATTTGACATTTTGCTCAGGTGGGGGGGGGGTGTAAGGTCACCTTTTTTAGGTCGGCCGTGGGAATATTTTTTTTTTTTTTTTATATAAAAAAAAAAAAAAATCAAAAGGGGGGGGGGGTTCAGGTTTTTTTTTTAGGGGGGTTTACATACATAAAATTACCAAAGGGGGGGTTAACCCCCTCCCCCCCCCCCCCCTCCCCCCCCCCCCCCCCTGCGTACGCGCCTGGTTTAATATCCCGTTAATTTGTGATTAAAATAATGATGAAAGAAAAAAATTGTAAGAAATTCCCAACGTGTAGTAGTTAAAAAGCAAAAGTTTATATAAGTCGATCTTTGGTTTAAAAAAAATGCTACACATACCATGATACGAACCAATTGCAACATCATGGATATCATTGCCATAGTTAGAAGAGTAGACTTTATGACATTCTATGCCATAGTGATCCCATTCATAACAAAATCTCAGTTTCAAAATTTGTTGGATGATTATTTAACATGCCTTTTCAAAATATAAAGAGTGCGTTTGATGTCAACTTTGTGCATGAAAAAAATATTTGTGCGCATATCATTTTTCATAGGATAGATCCAACCATTAAGAAAGGATGCAAAATTGAGGGTAGCTACAAACCTTCTCCCCATGAAGAAGATGATGACAATGATGATTACGATGATGATTAATGCAGCCACACCTCCATCAATCCCTGCATATAAATCTACATGTAAGAGGTTTACCAATGATGAGATGGGATTACTCTTCGATAACCAAGATAACAAATGAAGAAGCGTTCAGATAGGCAAGAGTAATACACATCGGGGTGTTAAATTACATGTATATGTCAAGCTTGTGAAAACTCCTCCGGACACTCTAGTCACAGCATCGAGACCGTCACAAACCCTACAACAGACCCAACATAATAAAAACAAGATTGCAAAGTTTTCATTACCTATACAAAAATTCGTGTTCGGATGACGTATTTTAAATGTTAATGGAACTTAGATTGCCATAAGTTGATTATTTTTTAATAATTGGAAATTGTTTTAGCATTATTTCCTTACCCTGAATGGCAAGGAAGTTGTCGTTTTAGAGTCGGTCTAGCAGTGTGACTGATGTAGAAAGCAACATAATAATGTAAGACTTGCTATAAATTCAAAAAATGGGATTCTGAATTTTTTATTCACCCTCACCTGTGTTATTTCCAGTCAGAGGAAAGGCAGACGTTGTTTGAGGTGCAATAGATGTCGTTGATGGTGATGATGTTGCAGGTTTGTTTCCGTCATTTGTTATCGTGACCGGTGTGAGAGCTATTGAATTAGAAACAGTTCTCGAAATTATTATAGGCCTAAATATGTAGGCCTAAATTCTACTAAAGTATCAACCCGGCGCTGGTTAAGGATTTTGTTCAAAGGAATTATAATAACAAAGGAAGTTAGTCTGTGGTCTAAGTTGTCCTTGTTAAACATGATCTTAGACACAAAGTCAAGATTATCTATATTCGTAAAAATATATCGACCGTATTTTTTGCATATTTTGCTTTAAGTATACACTTCTGTCCCCACTGAAGAGGTTTAGTTATTAAAAAAGGAGGAACATGAAACCTCGTATTGTAATCATTTAATTTTTACGAAGGACTGAAGATTTGAAAGTAGGTTGAGTCCTCTGAACTTGAAGAGATATTCCAAATTGCATTATCCAAATATTAAATTGAAAAAGTTTATTGTCCACAAGATTGGGAAAGTTTTGTTCTTTAAATTCCACATACATAATAAATATGCAGGAATAATCAGAGATAAAGATGGGAAACAGGAAAGTGATCGTGGACGCAGCTCTATAGACGTGGATCCATTTAGGAAAAAGCCCCCTCGCCCTCATCTCCCCCCCCCCCCTTCACTCTTCTAGTAAAATACTACATAGTTGCTGCACATTATGCTTCCCAAGGATCTCGGAATGTACGGCGGATCAAAACATAATTATCCCCCCTCCCTCCTACCCACACCTCCGACACTCGTGGATCCGCCTCTGGTTACGGGTACATACCTATTGACGTAGGCCTAATCGTTGAAGAAACTGTTATTGGCGTAACCATGGATACTGTAAATTCAGGTAAATAGCAAAATATGAAATGATAATTTAAACTGTTTTGTACTGTAACAGTGCATTCCCGTCCATAAGCCTTATATAACAAATTATTAAAGCGCTTTAAAGAGTATTAAGATTCAACGTTTCAAGATTCAAAACACATTTTGTACCTTTTGATAATCAAATGAACGCAATTTTAAATACACAGTTGTAGCAATTGAGGAAGGGGGTTAGATTCCCTAAAAGCAAGAAACTTGTTAGGGGTCGTCATTATTCATTGGCTAGATGGCTAGCAAAGAAACTGCAAACTTTGGAGATATTGTTTTCCTGCCTAGGTAATCAAATAGGAGTAAATTCAAGATTTGTCAACTGGCTCACATGTTTTGATGATGTTATCAGCCAAAGTGTGTTGGATTTCATTTTTCTTTAAACGTAGCGAGTCGAAACTAAAAGTAATAAAATACTGTCTTGTTGTTTGGAAACGGCAAAAACATCCACATCTCTAATGAAGTACTCCCAGCTGTTCAATTTAGTGACATATCTGTGGAATTTAGATATATTTATAATGGTACTCACTTGTGAAGACAGCTATGTGTCCTGACCCGCCACAGCTATCGGTAGGGTCTCCTGAACATGGGACCTGACAGTTAGCATCTGATCTCACTCCATGTCTAGTATAGCTATCACTCGCTTCACCACAGTAACATTCATTTCCATTTTCAACACCAGCGAATATATAGTTAGCTGTGGTTGACTCCACACAAAACTGGATGCAATAGGAAATAGTCATCTTTGGATCGGCAACTGAACTATCACCGGGAAAAACTCGATCATTCGTTCGGTCCACAAAGCATCCAAGATAACCGTCACCTGTACACAATTAGAAAAAATAACACGATGTTATGGTACTCAAACGCTTCCCGCTTTTAATTGCTTTGATTTGACTCGTTACAAAATTAGATGCAATAGGGATTACTCATGAATGTACTGATGTTGCCAAGTATCACTCTATCATTCATATATATGATCCTCAAAACATCCGAGATATCCATCACCTGTAAGGAAGCACATTAACGCCTGACAATCCGACTACAGTAATACACATTGGTGTAGGAAGTGAGGAGGTGAGGACTACAGCCCCCGCTAATTTGTAATATTTTACAATATTTGAGCCATCACTTATTGCTGTACGAGAGGCCAAATTCGAAGTTTTTAAAATCTTTGTTAGTTTGTTCATATGACATTTTCACTTCAATTAACAGTCAAAATGTCTTCCACTCGAATATTTGTGATCTTTGACTGAACTTTCTTTGTTATAATGTGAAATAAATTGCAGGGGACCAACCATCAGAGCACATTTTGCTCTAAATGTTTTGGGTGACCATGCTGGTATTATTTAGAATATCAGCCTAGAATTTTGCTTCTGTTATGTACTGAAATGTTGATTACTCTCTATAATTATGACGGTATGTTTGAGTACAATAATGGACGCATTCGATGAGGACGCATTCCCTAGACGGACACTACATGGGTCAGGTAGATCCTGTGCGCAGAATTAAAAGTTATCTCATGTTTACTTCATAGTCCCTTAGTGTTAACTCATTGGAAGACCGGTATTTATATAAATATATATAGGTGTGTGTACACACTAGATGTACACATTTTTATTTATGTATTTGTATTGAAAGATATATTGCACACTTACATATTATATAATACCTACAATTTCTTTTTATGAAGCGCAAAAATCAATAAAACATTGCTCAATGAGCTTTACGTGACAAATTAATGCTGAAGACAAACAACAATATCGGAAAAAGAAATTTGTAGAAATAAGAATTCAGTTATTGAAGAGGTGCGTCATTATGTTCTTGTTAAGAGTCAATCGATAAGGTAGTGAGGAAGGGGGCCATAACAACCTTTCCCATCATTTCATTTTTGTATCACACTTACTAATACTAGACCAAGAGGTATATTTTATCAATTGCTCATAAAAAAAAGAAATTATTTGTAATTGGCACGAGGCATGATTTCGTTAGCATTCAGCAACGATGGGAATACAAAAATAATATAACTTGGGGTTCGTTACGGGCTTCAGCTTGATGTCCCGCCCATCCCCTCCCCAATAAATCCGATGGGTATTGATTCTAAGCCGACACATTTTTATTTAGTGCTTTTTAATTTCTGACCTCATTTGTATAGTGACTATCTCATTATTCTCATATCATTATCTGCATTTTGTGTGATCTTACTTAAGAGCTAAAAGGTAAATTATCAATGGTCAATTATCAGTTACCATGACACGAAGCTCCTCCTGCTGTCGAGCATTCCGTTTGGGGTAAATCCAATGTACACTCTGACAAATCAGCTTCATATGAAATATCAAAATATAAAGAACATGATACGGATGTTAAACTCCAGTATCGCAACAATATATTCAAATTTCATTGGAAATAAATTATATAACATAAACTATTAATTTGCGCTGGGAGAGTCACCGTTAAATCAGAAGGCAAAGGCGTCTTTCTTTGATACTCATTTCATTCATGGTTGATATGTGGACAATATGAAAGACATCAAACCAAAACATTTTCTTAAAAAGATAAAAATTAACAGTAAACCCATAAAGCTCAGTCTCCCCTCCCCCTTCCATCACCCATGTAATCGCAAACCAGGGTCGACCTTCCTTGGTCATGTTCGTGTACATACTGGAAAGATGATAGAACAGTAGATGATAGAACAGTAGAACTGGCTGTTGCCATCTGCCAGATGGCAACAGCCAGTTCTACCAAATCCAACAAAAAGCCGTCTTTCAAAACAAATAATGAAACATGTACATTTATTTCATGAGCCTCATCAGTTTTCTTGCAAAAGTGTAGTATTTTTCCAGCTTAACGAATAGGTTAACTCGCTGCGAACAAAGGTAAACCACGTGAAACGTGTTACGAACCAACATGATAAGTAATTGTCGATGACCTGTAGCATATTCGTATGTATATAGGACCCATTTCTCACTCATTATCTTGATCTTAAGTTGTATCTTATTAGTGGTAAACAGAGAGGCTAGGCAATAACATCTTCAAAATTTAAATGCTATGTCATTACCTCCATTAATAATAATAATAATAAATTACATTTATAAAGCGCTTAATACAATGTTTCTAAGCGCTTAACATACAAGTAATTAGGTACAACGTAAAATAAACATACAGCAATAATAATACACAATTCTAATAATAACATTACAGATAATTAAACTGCCCTATAAATTACTATTACCGGTAAACAAAAAATACTTCAAACTTGCCTTAAAAGACTCTACAGATGGGGATTGACGAATAATAATAGGTAAACTGTTCCATAATTTAGGGGCTGCAATGGCAAAAGTACGATCTCCGTAACGGGTATTTGTTCGGGGACCAGGGGCGTATTGGAAATTAGCATGTGTAGTTGACCGTAATGAACGTGATGGAACAATAGGTTTGAGAAGGTCGTTTAAATATGATGGAGCATAACCATGTTTAATTTTGAATACTAACAAAAGAATCTTAAATTGAATGCGAGTTAAAATAGGTAGCCAATGAAGAGATCTGAGAATAGGAGTTATGTGTTCATATTTTCTGGTTTTGGTAATGAGACGGGCTGCCATGTTCTGAATACGTTGGAGTGGAGAAATGGTGGAATCTGGTAAAGCCAAAGTACAATCCGTTACAATAATCTAAATGGGAAGTCACAAAAGCGTGGATCAATCGTTCTGTAGACTGTCTGTCCAAATATTTTCGAAGTTTACTAATCCTGGATATACCAAAGGCAGCCGTCCGACAAGTATTCCTGATGTGTTGCTTCATATTCAATACATCATCAACAGTGACGCCGAGGTTACGAACTACTTTTGAAGGTACGATTTCAACGCCAGCAGCATCCAAGCACGGCAGACTGCAAGAACTTCTAAACTGCGAGGTGATATGTAGTACCTCAGTCTTAGATTGATTTAACTTGAGTTTATTTGAAGAAGACCAGGACATGACATCGGAGACGCACTCGCTCAGTTTATGCATAGAGCCTACGTGATCTTTGGATGTCATGGTCGCATACAACTGGGTGTCGTCGGCGTACATGACATGATGAATGTCCCGATGGGAAGAGATGACCGCACTCAACGGACCAGTATACAGGATGAACTCCAGTGGACCTAGGACAGACCCTTGAGGAACACCCCAGGGCAGGGGAAATGGTCTGGAAATAGAGTCATTCACAACGACGTGCTGTTTGCGATTATCCAGGTACGAATCAAGCCACTTCAAAGCACACCCCTTGATGCCATAGCCTCGCAGGAAACGATCAATCATAGTTGTATGGTCAATAGAGTCAAACAATCTATATGTCAGTGTGTTCCTGGAAGAAGGAGGTGGTCTATAGACAGCATGTATTCTAATTACAGCACGCTGTGAAGCATGGACAGTCAGATCCACATGTTCAAACGAGTTAAAAGTGGGAAAATCGTTGTTCAAAGAGACATTAAGAGCAGAACGATGGATGATACAGATTCCCCCACCAGATCCAGTGCGACGTGCCTTGTGGACAATCACATAGTTGGGTAATGTGTAGTTAATGTTCGCAATGGTGTGGTTGTCTTGTGAATCACCCTTTAACCAGGACTCAGTAATGACAAGTAAATCAAGGTTCTTTTCGAGGATGAGATCACAGATAGATACTACTTTGTTATTCATGGATCTAGCATTCCAAAGACCCAAACTTAACGATGGATCAAAACAGGAAATAGTTGCAGGATGTCGCCCTTGGTTGCGGCGTCTGCATACATCAATCAAGTTGGTGAGATCCCGATGACGAGGAAAATCTGCGCATAAAGTACGAGAAGGCTGTTTATATGAATTCCTGTCAGTAGTGATAGTAGGGATATTAGATTCAATGCAGTGTGCGAAAACTGGAGGGTGAATCTGTTGACGCTTGGACCCCTGGCCTTTTTTCCTCCTCGACGCGTCCGCTTTCTATACGAAATACCAAGGGAAGTAAGATTTCTCCACTGGGTAGGGGGCAGCCAATGAGGGCATGTTTTAGTCCGATTACAGTTGTACAACTGTTCTCTGGTGTAAGTGACACGTTGTCTTGACTGTGACCCATAACTATCTCGGCATATATCATCAGCAGGCCCAGGATTAGGATTAATGTCACCATCCAGTAAAATGGAGATTTGGAAGGAAGCCTCCGAATTCGGGTAGTAGCTGATGGGACCCCCCAACAATTTCCTTGCAGGTTTTGATGATAGAGAATTCAGCCTACCTTCATGTGGGTATAAGTTGCCGGTTATACTGTGATAAGGCAAAGTAGAATGTTGAGATACACTGTATATATATCTATTCAGCAAGTAAAGTCCAAGAAGAAACACAAAGGTAGGACGCTTGACCAATGCCATTGTCCCAAGAGGCTGGTATTGTTCATAACAATAGGAACAGCAAGAATGGTATTCAGGCTTGGGTGATCATCAATAGGATGTGTGCATGAAGCAGTTTCAATATGGCTATACTTGGCTCCAAATACATAGATAGCAAAGCAAAAACTTGAAAGTCTAGAACCTCTCATCAAGTTGCACTAAGTCCTTCAAAAATTGTCCAAAGTGATCCAGAGGGTATACTTGGTAGATGTGTATGTTTATAGACACACCAATATCCACTCTAACCTCACAAATAAAGCATAAAAGTAGAGAGGAGAGGAGCTGCTCACATGCTGAACGCTCACTCCCACATTACAATTTATTCCTCTGGTGGGAGTTGAATTCTGTTCATAAGGTGTTTCTCTTATTGCTATGTTTGCTCCCTTGAATCCCAGATGCCTGCAGATGACGATGACGTCACTGACACCAAGATTTACTCCACATGTTGTCTCCCATGTCCCGTTGTCTACCCTGATCTCAACTGTGCCTTTATTGGAGGTTGGACCGCCAACAAGTTGCACATCTATGAGCGTACAAAATTATCAATGGCATACATATAGACTCAATTTTGATAGGTAAAATAATTCGCATTCAGTTACACAACACAACATTTTGTTTCCAGTAACAATTCCTTTACAGTACCGGTATACTACAGTGTACTTGAAAAGGGGAATTTATTTAAGCAAGCATTATGCTTCTTGGTAGCATGGGCTGGTGGGTGATATATTTATGTAGAGGGAAGATGTACTACCACCCACATAAATGGGTTTGTGTATAATGTGAGAATATGAGAAATGGAAGCCTAACATGTAAAATTGCTTGTTCAAACAAGGTATAATATTCTTGTGCAACTTCATTTATCTGTACAGTCTTATATATTATCTCAAGGTTTCTTTAGATATGTTGCTTCTTTGCTTACAGATATGTTGATAAATCAACATAAATAACATGAGATAGCGATACAAATTAGGTGTTTTGGTATGAAATTGTTGTTTTTCATATTATTAAGGAAATTCAATCGTTGCGAAGGTATTTATTTTGAGATCGTTTTTTCCCGTTACTTTTGTAAGCTCAAACAGTTAGAGTCGTATTTTCTTTGGATTTTTCTTTCTGAAGATACCGTAGCAATTTCTTTCACGGTGGTTTTAGTACGGCATGTTCAGTTGTCACTCACTTTCATTTCAACACGTTGACAGGAAGGAATTGTCAGCTCGTCGTCATTTGCTCATTTTCAGCATGTTAATTTGTGTCCCGCCACAGAAGTAAGTTCTTTGGATTAATGATATAATTATGTAAATAATGTGTTGATGATGTGATTATGTAAAATAAGAGGAAAAGGAAAGTTATAAACAAAAGTCAAAGTTCTTGGTAAATAATGTACACGTGAAAATAGGGTGAAGTTAGGAGCACAATTTTTGTGTAAAGGAATTTAAGGTAATGTGTCAGTGAGTTGTTAGTGATTTAGTTAAAGATATGAAGGTGATTTGTAAATTGGTTTTTGATAACAAGCAATATTGTCTGCTACACTCAAACACTTAGGCAATTTAGAGGATATGGGTTATTCTTTAATCAGGCATTTGTAGATTCTTTTCTATGTATATATATAAGGAAAACATAAATAAGAACCAGGTCACAAAAAGAATTGTACATTTCAAACCATTTATTAAGAACATGTCAGACTCAGAGTATGAACAAGATAACTCAAAATATGTTATTTTGTGTGCATTATCTTTACAGATTGAATAAATACCTACACCAGTAGGAACTATACATTCTAACGGGCACATCTCGGCTTGTTCACTGATCCAAACATAATTTGATTGGAATCAGACGGACAAGATGGCTGAAACTGCAGGCGAGTTGAAAGCTAAGAGGAGAACGGCAAAAGGGAAGCTCACAAGGGGTATGAACCAACTACAGGCACTTTTGAACACTGAAAGATCCATCAAGGAGGTAGATGAGAGCTATCACGAATTCCGCAAATTGTATGAAAATGTGGAGGCAAAACATGATGCCTATTCTGAGGTTCTCGATGACACCGCGTATGAAGCAGAGCAGGCGTGGATGGAGGAGTGCATGAATAGCTTCATGCAGATGAAGTTGAAGGTTGTGGACTATGTAGGCAATAGTACCGGCGTGGATGACACGGTTGACACCACAAGAGAGGCTGAAAGCCCAAGGTCAGAAGTGAGAAACACAACAGCATGTCACGTACAGATAGAGAAACCAAAGTTGCCACGTTTCTCAGGAGACATCAGAGAGTACCAGACCTTCAAATCGGACTTTAAACATCTTATCGAGTCCAAAAACGCGGAGAGGGACTGTATAACCATTCTGCGTACTAGTTTACAAGGCAAAGCACTTGAAGTGATTCAAGGCATAGGAACAGACTACAACGCAGCTTGGGAGCAACTAGATGTCATCTACGGTGATCAGAGGAATGTCGCAGATGCTGTTATCTACGACATCACGAAGTTCAAGAACTTGAAAGAAGGAGATGATAAAGGGTTCATTGAACTAGCAGGGTTAGTGAGGAGGAGTTACAATACTCTGAAGGAAATCAACAAGGAGGAGGACATGAACAATTCTCACATGTTGTCATTGATAGAGCGAAAGCTTACGAATGAAGATCGTAAAATCTGGTTACGTCAACAGAAGTCGCCAACTTTGAAGTGCTTAATGGAATGGTTGAGCCAGGAGTTGCAAACTCGTATCAGGGCGACTGCATCGATTCGAGAAGGAAGGTCAGATAGCAAGCCAAGGCAGGGTGCCTTCATACACCATCTGACACAGGAGGACAAAGGAAATGAAGGTCGCAAACCAGACTTTAAGTGTTGGCTCTGCAAATCCAATGATCATTGGGTCGATAAGTGTCAGAAGGTCGTTAAGATGAGCCAGCAGGAGAGGTACGAGTTGATGAAGGAAAACAGGGCTTGTTTTAGCTGTCTGAAACGGGCTGGCAAGGAACATCGGATGACTACATGTCGAAGAAGAAAGAAGTGTGATCGATGTTCTTCCTTTCACCATCCTTTGTTACATTCAACCATAAAGATCCAGGAATCTACTGTGGATGTTGCAAGCACCGGATCGAGTGAAACTCTTCTGCCAATTCTTACAGTCAAGGTTCGTGGTCCAAAGGGAGCGGTCATCGGAAACTGTTTATTGGACTCGGGTTCTCAGGTGACACTCATCAGGAAGGGAGTAGCAGAGAAGCTCAACCTGGAGGGTGATCCGGTTCAAATAGTAATCACAAAGATCGGCGGAGATAGAGAGACTACTAATTCTAAGTGGTATCGGGTGAAGGTAGAGTCTTTGGACAATCATCGAGTTGTTAATGTGAAAGCTATTGGACTAGATGTGATCAACGACAACATCACAAGTGTTGAAGTTCGGGAGCTTGCAAGGATTTTCGATCTTGATAAGCTCAACAGAGGAGACGGGTCAGTTGATCTACTCATCGGTGCTGATTATGCAAGACTACATCTTGGTGACGTCAAGTCAAGAGAAAGAGGACATCTAGTGGCTACGCGAACTCCACTAGGTTGGGTGGTATTTGGCGGCAAGCCAGGACAGAGCAGTGGAAGTGTACTTAATGTACAGGTGGTTGGAAATCCTATTGACCTGCAGGATTTCTGGACGACGGAGTCCATGGGTGTGGCATGTCCAGCTATGGAGACAGATGAACAGAAGTTAATCACCAAGGCCTGTCAGAAGAAAGGACAGCAGTGGCTGGTACCGTACCCATGGTTGAAAGCTCCTAGAGAACTTCCAGACAATAAGGTTCTAGTGGAGAAAATGCTCTGTGCTACTGAGAAAAGGCTGATGAAGGATGCAGAGCATGCAAAGGCCTATGACCATCAAATCAAGGAGATGGTTCAGATGGATTTTGCTAGGAAGCTAACGGCTGAGGAGATGGAGTCGTACAACGGCCCTGTGCATTACATCCCTCATCACGCCGTATTGAGACCAGAGAAAAAGAGCACACCGATACGAATTGTCTTCAACTCTTCATCAGTGTACCAAGGCAAGTGTCTCAATGATTTCTGGATGAAGGGGCCTGACCTGTTGAACAATTTGTTTGGAGTCATCATACGATTTCGGGAGAAGCCAGTAGCAGTCTGTGCGGACATCTCCAAAATGTATCATAGGGTGCTGATACCGGAATCTGATCAACACGTACACAGATTCTTGTGGAGAGACTTGCAAGTTGATAGAAAGCCTGATACCTATGTGATGCAAGTTGTTACCTTCGGTGACAAACCGGCTTCAGCAATGGCGCAGACAGCATTGAGCCTCACTGCAGAAGAGGGACGCACTCAGTCCCCAGAGGCTGCAGATGTGTTGAAGAGAGACTCATACATGGATGATATCTGCACATCTACAAATACGAGAGAGGAAGCTCAAGCCTTAACTGGGAGCATTGACAATATTCTCGCTAATGGTGGGTTTAAGGTAAAAGGCTGGACTTCAAGCACACAGCTAAAGGGAGCACGAGGAGATGAAATGGAGAAAACTCTGATGGAGAGTCTAGCAGAGGAAAAGGTGCTAGGAGTCTTCTGGGACAGAAAAAGGGATGAGTTCTCTTACAGGGTGAAAGTTGAGAAGTTCTTGGATAAGGAACTAACCAAGAGAATCATCCTAGGCCAGGTTTCTCGAATCTTTGATCCTATTGGCTACACAGCACCGTTTGTCATCCGAGCAAAGATAGGACTACAGAAGATGTGGGAAGCTGGCTATGACTGGGATGCAGTTCTTCCAGAGGAATGCCAGATAGAGTGGAAGAGATTCTTTCAAGAGATGGAAGAGCTCAAGGAAGTAACGTTTGAGAGATGTTTGACTCCGAAGGGAAGCCGCTACTATGTATCTTCAATGATGCATCAATGCACGCCTTCGGAGCATGTGCATACCTGAGGTGGGAGACGGAGGATGGAGATTACAAGACAAGATTTGTGGCAGCGAAATCACGAGTGGCACCACTCAAGCCACTGACGGTTCCGCGCCTTGAACTTCAGGCTGCAGTTCTTGCCAGCCGACTGTACAAGACGATAGTAGAGCAGCTGACGATGGAGATAGATGATGTCATCCTCTTTACAGACAGTATGATAGCCCTCTCATGGGTGAGGTCTAAGGCAAGGAACTTCAAGACGTTCATTGCTACTAGGGTAGGAGAGATCCAGAGCAACACAGACCCCAGCAAATGGCGACATATCTCAGGAGTAGACAACATAGCAGATGTGTTGTCAAGAGGACTGAAGGCAAGTGAACTGAATGGGTCATGGCAACACGGTTCAGACTACCTACAACAGTCAAGATCTGATTGGCCTGAGGAAGTGAAGGTTCTTACGAATCTACCTGACGTTGAGAAGGAGAGGCGTCATGAGAAGACGGTTCTAGCTGTGGGTTTAAGTTGTGACCTAATCGATTATGAGAGGTTCTCCAGCTGGAGGAAACTGGTCAGAGTCGCAACATTGGTGTTAAAGTTTGTGAAGAAACTAAAGGCTAGACGGGGAAAGCAGGAGAATGAGACCAGTAAAGGAATGACTCCCGCAGAACTAGAGGAGGGAGAGAGGTACATCATCAGAGACGTACAGAAAGGCATGGAATCACGAATCAAGAAGGGAGAACTGAAGTCCTTGAGTCCCTTCATTGATGACTATAGAGTCATTCGAGTAGGAGGCAGGATAGATAAAGCGATGACATCATTCGAGCACAAGCATCCTGCTCTTCTTCCGTATGGACATCATGTTTCCAAGTTGATTACTCGTCATGTTCATGAGATGAGTCATAGTGGAGTAGCTGCAACCATGGCAAAGATAAGGCTAAAGTACTGGATTCTACGGGGCCATAAACTTATCAAAACGCTCAAGTACAGGTGTACTAAATGCAGAGCTTTTCTGCAAAAAACTGAGACCCAAGAAATGGCCCAGCTACCTAGGGAGAGATTAGCTCCGAATACACCACCGTTCCACTTCACTTCGTGCGATTACTTCGGGCCACTAACCGTGCGAGTGGGACGCAACAAGACGTCGAAGCATTACGGAGTCATCTTTACTTGCTTGAACACAAGGGCCGTTCATCTCGAGCTGGCAGTAGATTGCAGTGCCATGGAGTTTATGCAGGTACTGCGGCGTTTTTTCGCTGTGAGAGGACAACCGGCCAGCATCCTAAGCGACAACGGCACTCAGTTTGTTGGTACTGAACGGGAGTTAAGGAAGATGACTGAGGGACTGTCCAACGAAGAACTTCAGGACTTTTGTGCTGAGAGAGGTACCGTATGGAGATTTACCACTCCAGGAGCACCACATCAGAACGGCTGTGCGGAGGCTTTAGTCAAAAGCTGCAAACATGCTTTGAAGAAGGCAATTGGGGAGCAAGTGTTGGCACCATTTGAGCTTTTAACTTGTCTGGCTGAGGTGGCGAATCTGGTCAACCAGAGACCAATTGGCAGGCTGTCGACCGATCCAGATGATGGCGGATACATCTCACCGAATGACATGCTTCTGGGACGAGCATCAGGGAACGTAGCGCAAGGTCCATTCTTGGAAACGCGAAATCCGAGGCACAGAGTAGAACTGGTTCAGCGCATCGTAGATTCATTCTGGCAACGCTGGACGCGGGACGTATTGCCACTGTTAACTCCTAGAAGAAAATGGAATGTGCATCGACGTAATGTACGCGTTGATGATATCGTTATGTTCGCAGACGCGAACTCTGTGCGTAGCAAGTGGACAATTGCTCGCATAATCGAGGTGTTTCCGGGTGATGACGGTAAAGTACGGAACGTGAAAGTAAAGACTATGAACTCTGAGTACCGTCGCCCGATCACGAAGATTGCTGTAATCTATCCCGCAGAAGGTTACGAAGATTAGGTTACACAAGAACTTTAAGTTTGAAACATTGTAAACTTAAGAACAGATTAATCTTTGCAAATTTTTTTTTTGGATGTAAGATTTTCTTCATTTATATCATGAGGACAAATTCCCTCATTGGGTGGGGAGGATGTTTTGGTATGAAATTGTTGTTTTTCATATTATTAAGGAAATTCAATCGTTGCGAAGGTATTTATTTTGAGATCGTTTTTTTCCCGTTACTTTTGTAAGCTCAAACAGTTAGAGTCGTATTTTCTTTGGATTTTTCTTTCTGAAGATACCGTAGCAATTTCTTTCACGGTGGTTTTAGTACGGCATGTTCAGTTGTCACTCACTTTCATTTCAACACGTTGACAGGAAGGAATTGTCAGCTCGTCGTCATTTGCTCATTTTCAGCATGTTAATTTGTGTCCCGCCACAGAAGTAAGTTCTTTGGATTAATGATATAATTATGTAAATAATGTGTTGATGATGTGATTATGTAAAATAAGAAGGAAAAGGAAAGTTATAAACAAAAGTCAAAGTTCTTGGTAAATAATGTACACGTGAAAATAGGGTGAAGTTAGGAGCACAATTTTTGTGTAAAGGAATTTAAGGTAATGTGTCAGTGAGTTGTTAGTGATTTAGTTAAAGATATGAAGGTGATTTGTAAATTGGTTTTTGATAACAAGCAATATTGTCTTCTACACTCAAACACTTAGGCAATTTAGAGGATATGGGTTATTCTTTAATCAGGCATTTGTAGATTCTTTTCTATGTATATATATAAGGAAAACATAAATAAGAACCAGGTCACAAAAAGAATTGTACATTTCAAACCATTTATTAAGAACATGTCAGACTCAGAGTATGAACAAGATAACTCAAAATATGTTATTTTTTGTGCATTATCTTTACAGATTGAATAAATACCTACACCAGTAGGAACTATACATTCTAACGGGCACATCTCGGCTTGTTCACTGATCCAAACATTAGGTCTACTGGCCAATGATTTGATATCCGTGATCATTAATTCCATAAGCCTGTTGCCTACGAAGCTTCATTTCTGTTTAATAAAGGACTGTATTAACGACTAGAGAGGTCTTTGACGAGCCATGTGCGAGTGACTTCGGAAAATCAGTAAATGCACAAGTGAACAGGATATAAACGTTACGTAAATTCATTGCTTCACAATTTGCATCTCGTGTGCAATGGCTGTTAAATATCTTTCGCGTATTTCTAATCCCGTTGTATTAAAAAGAGGCGTTATTTTTATTGCATTAATCGGGCCTATGAAGGCCAAGAACCCAAACATAGCTTATTCAAAGTATCGTCTGCACTCTTCGTTTTACAATCACTTTTTTTACTATGTCATGTTATCATGGGGTTTCAGAAACCACACTATTCGTTGACGCAGCCCTACGTCATGCAAATGACGGCTCGTGTGCAACGTGCATTGATTACCCGTTATGACACATCTGACCATGTGATTGCTGCACTGCGTCAAAAGAACCCCCAGAAATACAAGGATGATGCGATGCCAATCCATTTTGAGTAATAGTTACGAATCACTGACAAATCTGCAGATTAAAATCGGAGTCGAATATTTAACAGCTCAGTCATGATCATGAACTTATTTAGAAAATCGTGAGGTCGATTGTGATAATTGGATCATATTGCAACAGTACATGTTGTTATAATCTATTATGCAAGAATAAGATATAGGAATGACACCCGTGAGAGATATAAAGTATATAGGCCTACACAGGCGCGTACGCAGGGGGGGGGGGGGTGGGCGGTTACCCCCCCCCCCCCCTTTGGTAATTTGATGTATGTACGCGTATGTGCGTACGCGCCTGGGCCTACATCCTCATCCACTGATTTCAGTGAATTAATTGCAGTTGCTAAGTTTATTGTGTTAACATAAATATTTGCACGAGGGCAATTCCTAGGTATTTCGTTATTTGTTGTCTTACAAGTTACCGAGTAATTGTGTAAAGAAGCCAGTTTGGAGATAGAAATTGTTCAATTAAATGGCACCCAAATATCAACCTGCAGATAAAGGTAATTTATACAATACTGTAAAATTCATCCGGACGACTGTTTGATAGTTATCTTGAAAGTGGTGAATCACTATTCCATCGGCGGTACATTCTTTAATTCGCAGGTGAGATTATTCTTTTCAAGAAGGCGATACTAAGGGTATTCCTGAAGCATCTCCATAACTTTGGCAGTGATTATTCTATTTTATTTAAATTATATTATTATATTCAAATGCAGTTGGACGTCTTCATGTGTAAAACATCTATTGAAATTGTGGGGAAGTTTGTACATGTGGTATCTCCGAAGAGTTTTATAGCCCAGTAATTAACACCCCCCCCCCCCGACTATCCCAATGCTTTAAATACTCAATTAAAACTTTTTTTGAGGATTTGGGTTCATCTTGAATCTCGAATCTTGAAGAATTACTCTCCCAAAAGCGTGAACGCTGTCCTGAAGAGGGCTGTGCTGTGTTGCGTGCTGTTGGTGATGTGCTGTTGGTGATGTGCTGTTGGTGAAGTGATGGTGGTTGGTCTCCGTGCACTCTATACAATGTGCAGGGTGCAGTGTGCAGGTGGTGCAGGTGTGTCCCTTGTTACAACATCTCCAGGGGCGGCGCCATAGTCTGTATGGCGGGTAGTGCCGCTCCCCTAAAGCCAAGAATTGTATTTGCAGTGACAGGGTGACTGCCAGAAGGAACCGATAGTAAACCGGCGACAGAAATCGTAAATTAAATCTTACCATACTTTAAAGCTGATACTCAAAGACAATCCCAAATACTGAGATAATTACATAAATAGAAAGCTTTTAACCCCCACAATAACACCAAATGGTGTCCACCCGACAAAACAAGTTTAGAATAATGAATTCATTCGAGTAAACTCTACCAAAATATCTAAGTCTGAAACCCGGAAGTGCACGTAGAGTCGGGCCTCTATCCGTGACGTCACGAACGGGAGTCATGGGCTCAGTGAGAGTGAATGGCAGTGATATCCCTACGTAAATGCTATCCTGTCAGAGCTTAGATTTGTTGTTGTTAAGGAGTATATTTGATGGATATTCTGTTTTCATTTGAATGAAGAATAACGAAGCAACATTTTCCAGTCGCTGATTTCTTTTTATATCCTCATATTCACCTATTTGGTAGAGATTTAAGACGAGTTTACTGCTTAGGAATTAAAGTTAAATCGTGCACTTATGAATAGGCGGATGCATTATAAATTATTGTCATCAGATGTACATGAGCAGTTTTGTAAAACGAATAGGTCTAGAACTATGATAGTACTTATCATAGATGTGTGTGACTGCCTCAAAAAAGGATACAGTACCAGTTAAACATTTTATGTTGTAAAATATCAAACTTGAACGAGATCATGCAAGCGCGCGCGCGCTTCCTCTATAATATTTTGGCGAGTGATGCGGCTCTTGCATGAACGTTCGTGGAGCGAGCAGAATCGGGAGGTAAGACCAAGCCGCTGCTCTAGGCGCTGCTTGCTTGTGATGGAACGTACGTGCGCTAGTTATATGTTTATCGGCAATTGCAAGAGAATGAAAGTGACGTTGCCAGCTAAGAAAAACAACTAACAAAGACTTGCTCCTGACTACCGGTGTCAGAATTGGTAGATGAAGGATGTTCAGGGCCAAGGAAGGCGAAAGACATGGGAAAAAGGAAGAAGAAACCATCGGGAGATCGCTGCAGTGTATGGTAATGAACTGTGCATGGGTAGAGAGCCACTGTTCACTCCGTGCCTGGGCCGATTTCAACACCAAAACAAAAATTACATGGTGAAAATATCGACTAATAGCACATCGTTGGCATGTATATGTCATAATTTTTAAAAGGGGAATTGATATTAATACTATGAAGTACTAGGGGAAGGTAAAGAATTGTACATAGAATTATGATTTATTAGACTTTTCAGCCTTTGAAACAAAAATATGCAGAAAATCGTATCACTCTGCACATGTTTGCTATGGAACATCCGGGTACGTGAATATACTCTCTCCCGGACGTGAGGTCATAAATAGTAGACCAGCGTCGTGACTGATTTTCTATGCAAAGAGAGGCGGATATTTTAGACATTTCAATTGAGGATTTCGAGTAGACAGAATTTTTTTGTGATATACTAAGTAATTGAAAAACTTAAAAATAACATATACTTGCCGTAGGTAACAAATTAAGGGACATTTATTTGCTTAGAGTATCAACTTTAAGTACCAATATTTCATAAGTTAATACACACTAGAATTTCTATAAATATATATTATTGTTCTATTTGTTATTACCATCTTCTCAAATTCATGTTCCAGTATATGTTTGTTTCTCGCTCGAAGCCATCCGGTATTATCCACAAGAAATGAGTGAAGATCCTGAACAATATTCCTTTTCAGTGAGCACAGCTATGATACATGAAAATACTAAACGCTGTTACAGCTACTACAATGATCAGAAGAATGCACAATGATTATGAATACTGTGAAGAATTTTGCAAGATCTGATTATGACTTCAGGCGACTTATTATGATTGCTTCCTCACTGAATTCCCCTTTTTTGATCCGAAGACTCTGTAAGGCAGGGCCTTGTTTCACAAAACCTTCTATCAATAACATTGTGCGAAAATCCTATGACAAAGCTGCTCTTCGCCAATCAAATGCGATGTTTTCAATGGCTTATAACAGTTATTGTCACATGTTATGGACAACATGTTTTGTGAAACAGGGCCCGGAACAATGTGTGGCATGTCATTCTGGCACTCCTTATTTTCATTTCACAAAGGAACAGTCTTTTGTTCGATTTCTATAAATGTACTGAAAAAGTATTGAATGATCAATAGACGGCATGAGTCATTTTCAGAGTCAAGTTCCGTTTTCAGGTACATGTACGCCGAGGTGGTTTTGTTTACGTCATGCAATTCTGAATCTTTTAACATGAATATTTCTTTTAAAATTCCTATATCATGAATTCTATCCAATTTCGTGAATAAGTAATTTTTTTATATCAGACAGATCCCTTGAGCAAGGGTCAGTGTTGTGATTTATAATCAAAATTGTCGATATCGAATTAGCACCATGTGGAATACATGTAATAAATTTTAAAGGTAAAGACCAGTATTGGAAACGCCCCAATTTCAAAAAATGAAATGGGAGCTCTCATTACCAATCATGTGAAAGAATATGTTTTGACTAATACATGATGATAAAAGATTTGCCGGGAAACCGCCTACTAATTCATATATTTGGTAAATTTGTTTCTCTCATGGTCTGTGAGAGATATAGGGTAGTCCCATATACATCTTTCTGTGTATAGTGCTTGTAACTTTACGAAGAATGGGCCACATTTCTTATCATTTTGATGATTCCAGAACCTTGCAGATGCTAGATGCTAGATGATCAACCTTTTCTTATCGATTCCACAACGTTTCTTTCACAATGCAATCGCATGACCATAACTGGTCTTTACCTTTAAACAAAAATTGTAGTTTGCTCTGTTTGTTATAGCTTAGAAATTTAGATACATTGTAGCAAATTAATGTTACCTTTCAATAGAAATAATATCACTACTATTTTCACAAATAGGATTCCAAAAAGAAAAGTCCACCCCTCTTTCTCTCTCTAGATAGGCCTATCTAGGTCTATTTCTCTCTCCCTTCCTCTTTCTCTCCCTTTGTCTCTTGCCCTGCTAACTTCTCTCTCTTTCTCTCTCTCCCTCTCTCTCTCTCTCACACACACACACACACACACACCCTTCCCTCTCTCTCTCTCTCTCTCTCTCGCTATCTCTCTCTCTCTACTACACACACACAATCTTCTCTTTTTCTCTTTCTCTCCCTCTCTACGTCTCTCTCTCTCTCTCTCTTCCTTACACACACACACATACAATATTCTTTTTTTCTCTTTCTCTCTCTCTCTCACTCTCTCTCTCTATTTTTCTCTCCCTCCCCTTTTCCCCTCTTTCTTTCTCTCTCCCTCTCTGGTCCTTTCTCTCTCGCCTTCCGATCTATCTTTTTCTTTCTCTAGTATGAAACCATAATAACTAGCCTCTACCTACACTATTTGCGGTCATGACGTCACTATAAAAACTTTGAACGGATAACTTATGTTATCATCCAGGGCAGCGTTTCACGAAGTACTTTCGTAGGTACACGATCGCTGACATCCCATTGAAATGCGCGAATGAAAGTTCGCACGCATGTCAACGTAATGACGCCGAACTCGTAGTTACGACAGTTTCGTAAAACAAATATAATAACCTACAAAGGCTATGTACACTTGAAAGATCTGAATCTCCAATCTGGGGTAAGGAAAACAAAACATTATTACAACATTTAATGCTAAATTAGGCGACATAATTGTTAAAGGTAGTATATTTTATCACAAATAACAAAACGCGATTACATGATGATAACAACTCGAAACAATTTGCATGTTTGGGACAGATAGATGATGCAATACACGGACGGATGTATCTACATTTGCCACTCCATAGAGTACCGAAGATGTGACATCATAAAAATATATGTTTTGAATTTACTTAGATTTTGTCCTACGGAAGTATAAGTCTAAAATGCGATTTGAATACGAGATAAGTAAATTACTTAACTTAGACATTTACTTAGTAAATGTCTTACTTATGCTAAGTATTGAATTGAATACCGGCCCAGAACCATACTTTTTTATGCTCTTTCATAAAATGAAGGAAAAATTGGGAAATTTAAAAAAAAAAAAAAAAAAATGATGACGTCACACTTCACCACTCTATATATACCCAGGAAAAAATGGGGACTCGGTAGGATGACGAAAACCTTTGTGATAGACATTGTCATATACCTTCACGGTGACCATATGTTGGAATGCACAGCATGGAGTGGAATTGTCCACAATGTGTAATGCTGTTTGCATGAATAAATCCGATGACCGGGATAATACAAATATATGTAAAAAGACTCCATGCCGTGTGTGTGAATTAATCCGAAGACCGGGATAATGACAATATATGCAAAGGCGCGAAGAAAAAATATTCAGCTCTGAAAATCTAGATTTATTAGTAGTATTAGGCCTACTTGGAAGTTTTAAATGTTAAAAATGAAGATATAATTATATACCTCAGGATTGTTGATGATCACATCATTCACATGCGTCGCACAAAGAAATAAGTATATTCATGCAAGCCTTTTGGTTCAGTCTTTTCAGGTATTTCTTGTCACCTTTCGAATAATAGGGCATTTTCAAAGTGAATCTTTTTAGGGATATATTGCCACCGCAATGTTCTTCCAAACTGATATTCGAAAAATGAATAGGCTCATAAATTTATTTTTGATCTTTACCAGAACTCACCTTTCGTGGTACATTTATATTAACATATAGAGTAGGGTCAAGCCGGAAACGTGGCAAGCTGAGTACGTATATTAGACTGAGTATTTTGAATAACTTATTACACTGAAAGATCACACATGAAATATGACGATTTAAGACGATGTTATTTTAACAGTACATACACCGCGTAATAAAACCAAATCCTTCACAAAGTGAATATAATCATGTAACCGTGACACCCAAAACGACATGGAGGGATATGCAGGGTTTTTACATACTGTACACAAATCTGAGTAGACATACATTTAACTGTACACCAGAATAATATTAGATTACACCTTACACGATCTACAATTCAATCATGAAAATGAGAAGCCATGCATTTTAGAACATCATGAATACCATACACCGTACCAAGAACATTAATGTGAAGAATGAATAATTGCTATCGCTTGAATAAAATACCCCGTACATAGATAGAACAACAAGTGAATATATCATTTGCCAATAACTGCTTGTTCTGACTAAATAATCTTAAAAACGATTTTCTCGAGTTCAACTAGTTGATCATATCAATATTGAATAAATTTTAATTGATTTTGGCAGTAACATGTTTGAGGGGACAACTAATTTTGGATCGAAAATTATAAAAAGCGGGCAAATCTGACTTCCCCCTTACAAACACTATTTTTGATTAGGAATACTCATTATCTTGCCATTTGAGTTTTCAGGGTTCAAAGGTTATTGTTATTGTTTTTGTTTTGTTTTAAAGATGTCCCACTTATTCGATATCTGATCAACTAAATCATCAACACATGAAGCAAAATTTACTTATTCTGTTGTTTTCTTTCTTTGGTTAAAGCGGCGTCTCTCAAATGGTATACAGTTCATTTTCAACCATTTCCGGCTCATATTGATCGCCAGACAACGATTCGTCAGCTTTAGCATAAAGACCATGCACTATGCCATCATCGTTCCCATCCGGCTGTCCTCGGGGCTTATCGGGTATGGCATAGAGAGAGCCGAAGTCTTCCGAAGTGTCATTTCGAGGTCCATTTCCATTCTTATCGGGCGCGGCGTAAACTACGCTTAGCCTGTCGTTCTTGTTCGGCATGGTTCGGGGGCGCATCGGACTTACATTGTCAACAGAAGCATAGTGTGCCATTTCATTGGTTATTACTTCGTAGTCGTTCCGTGGTTCATTTCCATTCTTGTCGGGCATGGCGTAAACTACACTTAATCGGCCGTTGTTGTTCTGCACGGTGGCAGCGGTGTCAAATGAAGCGTAGGGCATCATTCCATCGCCTAGCACTTCATCATCAATTCCCCCGTAGATATTCATTGACATTTTGGGATTCAAATTGACAAGAAGTCCACTCTTGTCTCTTCCGGAAGCAGTTAGAACAGAGGCCGTCGCATTATTTGAAGCTTGTAACCCAAGTTGTGAACCTCCTGCAACCGACGGCTCTTCAAGTGCTGCGTTGCTGATACCGAGGCCATTGATTCCCGTAGGAGTGCTTGCTGTAGCAAAAGACATCCTTTGTGAGGAAGTGTGGTCCTTTCGTCCCTTCCGGGACCTGAATTGAGAAATTTGGATATAAATAACATTTTGATGATAATAACAAGCATTTATATGGCGCGTACGTAATACGAAAAACAGTCTCAAAGCGCTTAACAGATCTCATTACCCCGGTCATCGGATTGATTCACGTACAATATGCACCATTTTCACTCTCTGGGGAGTATTTCAGCCATTTAGTTATCGTGAGGGCATATTGTAATTACTAACGCTAAGGCTTTCATCATCCCACCAGGTGCCCATTTTTCTCTTGGGTATGGAATGACAAAAAAGATTAAGGCATTGCCAAATCATTGCCGTGTTGGGGAAGGAACATAATACTGTATGAGGCTTATCTTTACCGTGGTTCAAGCTTCGCTTCGAATACAGGTCGTACCGGCTGAATTCCTAACCAGGTACGGATTCTTCGTCGGGAAAAGAAGGTCGGGATAGCTAGTTCTTTAATTTCCCATTAATTTGTTATTCAACATAGTGATGTAAGAAAAAAGGTGTAACAAATTCAAAAACTTAATTTTATAGGAGTTGATTTTCGGTTAAAATTTTACTCATACCTCGGTACGTATTAATTGGAATATCATGGATATTGGTGTAGTTAGAAGACTAGATTAAAAGAAATTTCATACCATTATGATAACCTTTACAATATTATTTTCAAAACTTTTTGAAATATTTGAAAAGATGTCTTTAAAAAAATGAATTGTGCGGTATATATTAACTATGTGCAAGAAAGAAAACTTGGGCTTAGCTTTTTTTTTTATTTTTCATTACTTTGATTGATCAACCCATTAAGAAAGGATGCAAAATTGAGGATAGCTACAAACCTTCTCCCCATGATGAAGATGATGACAATGATGATTATGAGGATGATAAATGCAGCCACACCTCCACCAATTCCTCCATATAAACCTACAAGTATCAATTTTACCAATGATAAGACGAGATTAATCTTCGATAACCGAGTAATTTTTTTTTAAAAGCGTTCAGAAAAGCAAGAGTAAAGCACATTGGGGTATTAAATTAAAAGTTTATATCAAGCGTGTGACAATTCATTTTGACATTCCATTTACGCCATTGAGACCGTCACAAACCCTACAACAGAGCAAACATAACAAACAAGATCGCAAAGTTTCAATTAGTTTCAGAAAATGTGTTCGGATAACGTAACATGTTGCTGTGATGTTGACATACATGTATTTTAAAGGTTCTTTGACATGGCTATTGCAATTGCCACAGGTTACTATTTTGTAGGTAGTCGTGATCTTTTTAAGATTATTACCTAACCCCGAGTGGCAAGGAATCGTCGCTTTAGAGTCAGTCTAACAATGTGATTGACGTGCTATAAATTCAATAATGTAACTCTGAAATTTCGCGAAAAAAGTCCCACCTGTGTTATTACGAGTCCCAGGAGGATCAAACGTTGCTTTAGGTGACATAGATGCCGTTGATGATGATGGTATGGCAGATGTGTTCCCGTTATTTGTTGTCACCTGGTTGGGTGAAGTTAACTCTAATATCGATGTAGACGGTGTAAGAGCTATTGAATTAGAAACAGTTCTTGTAATTATTCTAGGCCTAAATAGGTAGGCCTAAATTCTACTAAGATATCAACCCGACGCTTGGCTAAGGCTTTTGTTCAACGGATTTAACAAAGGTGGTTAATCTGTGGTCTAAGTTATCCTTGTTAAACGTGATCTTAGACGTAGGGTCAAGTTTAATTATATTCGTAAAGTACGGACCATAGTTTTTGCATATTTTGCTTTAAGGATAATACACCTTTTTCCCGACCGATCAGGGGTTCAGTTATTAAAAATGGAGGAACATGAAACCTCATATTATAATAAATCATTTCTTACGAAGGACTGAAGATTTGGTGGTAAGTTTAGCCCTCTTAACCTTAAGAGAGTTTTCTAATTGCATTATCAAAATATTCAAAGTTCAATTTTCTTGTTCATAAGAATGGGAAATTCTTCTCTTTTAATTTCCAAATACATAATCAATATACAGGAATAATCAGATATAAACATGGGTTACGGGTACATACTTATCGACGTTGTTGTTGGCGGAACCATGGGTACTGTAAATTCAGGTAAATAGTCGGGGGAAAAAGCAAAATATGTGATGACATTAACTGTTTCGTATAGTGCCTTCCCACTCATTTGACTTATATACAACTTTATAAAAGTGCTTTATAGTGTATTAGGATTCAGTATTTCGAGATTATAAACACATTCATTCCCTTTTGATAATGATAAGAACACAAAATGAAATTTACATTCGCAGAAATGGAGGAAGGGGCTATATTCCCTGAAAGCACGAGGATTGTGAGGAGGTCGTCATTCTTCATTGTATTCTCCCATGGGATAGTGGCTACCAAGGAAACTGGAGAGATTGGGTTCCTTGCTAAATAATAAAAATGGAGCTATTTCAAAATATTTCAACTGGCTCACTACTTTCAATTAGGCTATCAGCTAAAGTTTGTTGGGTTTGATTTTCTTTTAAACATGGGAAGTAGAATCTTCGAAACTCATGAATCTTATCAGTGGTAAATTATTGTCCTGTTGTTTCAAGACCACAAAAACATGCAGGTATTGAATGAACTATATATATTTTGTTTGTATTATTATTTATTAATTTTTAATATACAGTATAGTATTTTGTCAATGCTTGGTATTCTGGGATGCCCAATTTAGTGACACCTCCGCGTGGTTTAAATGTATTTATGATAGTACTCACTTCTAAAAACAGCGATGAATTCGTACCCACCACAGCTCTCGGTAGGGTCTCCTGAACATGGGGCCTGACAGAAAGCATCTGACACCTCTCCTTGTCTAGGATACCCGGCATTAGCCTCACCACATAAACAGTTATTTCCAAGTTCTACTCCTGCGTATATATATTTAGCTGTGGCTGACTCATAACAAAACTGGATGCAATAGGAAATAGTCATATCTGGAACGTCTGTTGATTTATCGCCAGTTAAAACGTGATTAATCTGTTGCTTCCCAAAGCATCCAAGATAACTTTCACCTGTATAAAATTAAAAAAGCATGATGGTATGGTATTAAACGCGTCCGCATGTAATTGCCTTAAATTGACTCGAAACAAAACTGGATGCAATAGGAGATAATCATCAATGTACTCATGGTGGTGATGGCGCCACAAAACACTCTGTCTTCCAATTATCCTCAAAACATCCGAGACATCAATCACCTGTGAGGACGTTAAACACACGTCTGACAATACGACTACAGTAATAAACGTTGGTGTAGGAAGTGAGAAGCTGAGGGCCAACCCCCCTCCCCCCCCCCCCCCACCGAGAATTGATCGAATATGATACTATCCTGGCCACCACATATTAGAGCATCGTTGAGGCCAAATATGTAGTTTATAAATCTTTATATGTACTCATACAACAAGCTTTTCAAATGAGTCATGTTAATTCATATGGGGAGCGTGCGATTATCGAATGGTCATTCATTTTAATTTTTTCTCTCCTATTCAAGAAATAGGCACATGCAAAAATCAGATGCCGATGATCTCAGCTTTTCTTTAGTCTTGCGGGATCATGACCGGGTACAAATGCTTTAATTACATGTAAGTGCATTAGATTTAAGATGCATCGTTCAACATGACCAGCTACATAATTATATTATGAGTATGCATGAAGGCCAAACATACTTATTCTCAACGGATTATTTAGATTACATATGATAATGAAATATAGGATGTAAATGTGAAAAGAAAGACAAAAGGCTCCTTGAACCTATCGCGTTAATTTGAATACACGAACATCGACATTTAATGCACGAAATTTGAGATCGTATGTATAAGTAAACTCTTGCCAGACACTAATATATAATGGAATATTGGAACCTACAACCTAGTGCCATAGATTAAATTGCACCCTTTCCCATTATTTCACTTTTTATCATATTTTCTAATGGACCAGGAGGAATGTTTTATCGAATGCTCAGATCGTTGTTTAATTGGTATTCGGCACAAAACATGATTTCTGTTAACACTCATCAACAACGGGAGTACAAAATTCTTAAGTTCAATTTTGGAGAAACTTTTATCAACAGGGGTTTGTTATTAATTAAGGTGTGAGGTCCCCCTCCCCCTCCCCACCCCCCCCCCCCACCCCTTCCCTCCCCCCCCCCCCCGTCATATATCGGGTGGATAATTTTTATTTTTACTTAAGTTACAGGTGTATATAATGACTTTCTTATTATTATTACTTAATTATCTAAATGTTGGTGTAATCTTATTTCACGAGCTAAAAGGTGGTAATATAATTCACCAGAACAAGTTACCATGACACGAAGCTCCTCCAGCATTCGAGCATGCCGATAGAAACGATGGGCACTCTGACAAGTCAGTTTCAACTGAAATATATCAAATTGTAAAGAACATAATATGGATGTACGATCCTGTTGTAACTTCAGTCTGACAACAATAAATTCAAATTACATTGGAAAATAGTTATATTAAATAAACTATGTAAAATGAACGTGCGCTGGGGAGATCACCTTTAAAGAACAAAGGCGTCATACTCATTTCACTCAGGATGGATAGGTGGAAAAACATATTTAATTAAACCAAAATACATTTTCTTTAAATGATAAAATGAATATCAACAACTTAAAGTTATGTACCATCAAATAAACATTACCCCCCCCCCCCCCCTTCACCTTCCAATCGCAAAGCAGGGTCAGCTTTCCTTAGTGTACGTACTGAAAGGTTAATAACCCGGCAAAAGCCAACAGCACCGTCTACCAAATAAAAATTAATGATGGCTACTTGTATTCATCACTTTGTTTAAAGGTTGCCAAAAATATATACAAAAAACTAATGAGCCTCATCTTACTTTTCTTACAAAAGTGCAGTAGTTTGCAGCTTGAATGAGCTCTTGACACGTTGCGAACTGAGGTAAGCAATTTGCAACCTCTTCTGCCTTTGGCATTGCAAATCAACATGACTAACGGGTTTTCGATGATCTGTAGCATACGCAACACTTGATGCATGACTGATCGTCAACGAAACGGAGTTAAGTCTTTTGTCAACTCTGTTTGTTGCTACGGCAGGCAGCCAGTGAAAACGATTCGTTTAATCAAATTATGGAAATGCATGCATTACTTTGTCTTTAAACAAACAGAACTTTGTTATTTCTGGTCCATTTTTCCTGATTGAGGTGTCATATGAAAGGGCGGAAAATGTACTTTCTAAAAATATGATTTTCTCTGTGAAATTCACTGTATTATATATATATATATATATATATAAGTTGTCATTTATCTTCCTAGTAGTGGTAGACAAACTAGGCAATAACATTTTCAAAAGTATAAATGATATGTCTTTACCTCCAAGACATCCCAGCCCTCTGGTTGGAGTTGAATTTTGTCCATAATGTGTGTCTCTTATCACTATGTTTGCTCCTTTGAATCCCAACTGTCTGCAGATGACAATGACGTCACTGGAATCAAGATTTACTTCACATGTTGTCTCCCATGGCCCATTGTCTATCCTGATCTCAACTGTACCTTTATTGGAGGTTGGACCACCAACAAGTCGTACATCTGTCAAAATTAAGATGTGTACAATGAAACGTCCATGAAACTAACGAAGCCTAGCCACTGCTTATGCTACGCTTTTACTAGCGTATTCAGATATTCCAACATGATATGCACAACTGAAGTAAATGGTAACCGGTAATAGCTACGACTAGATTTCTCGCAAGCAAATTCCTAACCAGCATATCAATAGACTACACTTTAATTGATAGGTAAAACAATTAGCCTTAATTTACTATACAAAAAATTGCTTCATTTAAAGTTCGTCTATTCCGTGGCAGTATGGAATGACAACAGGGTCTGGTTAATGTAGTAGGACAAGGCGCTTCTTCTCACATAAATATGTTTGTGTTTGATGTGAAAATATTAGAATTTGAAGACTACATGTGAAATTGCTTGTTCCCACAAGGTGTACATTTTGTACTACTGAAATCATCTGTATCGCCCGAATTCACAAAGGAGGTTTGTCGTCAAATCTTGGTTTTCGTACGTCATATGACGCGTTTTACGCGTTTTTTACAAACCTGGTTTGTAAAGAACAAAAGGAGGTTTGGCGAAACAAAAGGAGGTTTGAGCTCAAACCTTGGTCTGAGCTCAAACCTTGCTTTGTGAATTCGGGCCTAAGTGTCTTTAGACAGGTTTTTAGTTTACCTTCAGATCTACTGTATTTGATAACTCAATTGGAATCAAATGAGATAACGAAGTAAAAAATAGATCTTTTAGCCAATGACTGAATATCTTTGGTCGTTTATTCCCTACACCTGTTGCCTACGAACCTTCATTTTCTGTTGGAGGACTACATTAACGACTGGAGCGGTCTTTGAAGCGCCATTAGGGACTTTTAGATTTGCACGTTGACAGCTTTGACTGCAACGTGTGACGTCATTTTAAGGCACTGCGCATGCGTCACGTCGTCTCAGTCAGCGATCGAGAATGCGTCAACCTTGATTTTCCTAAATCTAGTACGGTACTAGTATATATGCCGCGTGCGCATAAAATATACAGTTCCTCATGTAGACAAAGGAACATCCCTTCCCTGCTATCCACCTGTTCTACACATTGTTACATAATAGCAGTGAAGGAATGTTCTACCACAGCAATATGCCATTTTCGTAATGTAACCAAATTTAATGCATAGGTCTTTGTGAAGTGCCTCAATACAAACTATTTCATTCACCTGATAAGAATAATAGTATTTCAATAGACAGAATCCTAACTGCATACATTAGTTGTTGCCAGGTTGGACAAACATTATGGCTTGACCTACCTAGCAACACTTAATATATGCAGTTGCATTCTGACTATTGAACTACTATTATTCCTATCAGGTGAATGAAATAATTTGTATTGTGCACTTCACAAAGACCTATGCATTACATTTGGTTACATTACGAAAATGGCCTATTGTTAAGGGTAGAATGAGGAACTGTATATTTTGTCCTCTTTCTTTGTCTGTCATGTTCATAGTGTTACTTCCTGCATGCATGTATATCGTCGAAAGCAATCTAAAAGATTTCTAATTGTAGTCAACATGGGCAGTTGAGTACGTCAACACGCATGATCAGTCGGCGTTCGTCGTGTTCTCGCCCACTCAATCTAAAAGTCCCTATTATGTGCGAGTGACTTCAAAAAACTAGTAAATGCCAAAATGAACTGAGTAACCATTGTGCTGGGCCATTGTGTATAAATATGGCAAATTCATTGATTTGCACCTCGTGATCATGCGATGGCCGTCAGGTGTCTTCATCGGCTTTCTTATGCTGTTATAAACGAGGAGTGGTTTTTTATTGCATTTTTACCTGCGCTAATCGGGCCTATTAAGGTAACTATCCCATACACAACTTCTTGAGAGTATTGTTTGCACTCTTTATTTTACAATCACTTTTACATGGGGTTTCAGAGACCACATCAACCACTGAGACGCGCAGTCCTAACATCATGTAAATAGGGACTTTTAGATTCGCACGAAGACAATAGGTCTATGCTACGATCGACGTCCTTGTAATGCACTGCCTTCAATGGACGTCACACGTATCAGTCCACGCAAATCTAAAAGTCCCTAGTGACGGCTCGTGTGCAACGTGCATTGGTTACCTGTTATGACACATCTGACCATGTGATTGCTGCACTGCGTCAAAAAAATCCCCAGGAATACAAGGATGATGCGATGCCAATCCATTTCGAGTAATAGTTACGAATCACCGGTGAATCTGCAGATTAAAATCGAAGTCGAATATTTAACCGCTCAGTCATGATCCTGAACTTATTTAGAAAATCGTGAGGTCGATTGTGATAATGGGATCATAATGCAACAGTTCATGTTGTTATAATCTAAATCAATATATAACAACAGGAATTATGCTCATAAAGTAGCAAGAATATGGTATTGGAATGACACTTTACCACAACATGCATACGAGTAGGACGTAGGTTTCTTGCCTCTCCGTATTTGTTCGAACTTTCCTCGCTATATGCGCTGTAAACGGACTATATAACTTGCAATCGACCGACGATGAACTCTCAAAGGACAAGACTGGCAAGAAGGGCCAAAGGACACCTGGAAATGCAGGAGGAAGATGTAAGTTTACACCATTTTTACTCCTCTCCTGCCACGTCAACCGATGGGCTTGACGTAGGTCACGTGAGATCACCACCGCGAAGCTTGCCCGCCCCAGCTCTGAACCTCTGAACCCAGCCCTGTACGCATTGTACACATAGATCGATACTTTATTAAAATGACTGAAAAGTTTAAAACAATGATTACAAAAGCTGTTGACTCTCTAGTCGAAAACGTAAAGAGGGTCGAGCGAGACCTGGGGGCGGCAATCGAATTCGAGTCCCAAAGAGTGAACGAACTCAAGGAAAAGAACGCTGCACTCGACACGCAGATGACTTCGCTTCTCCGAGAATCGGCTGAGCAGAAAGCTGGGATTAACAAAGCTGAACGCTTCTCTCGCCGAAACAACGTGCGCCTTGTTTGAAAACCGGAAAATACGGTCGAAGATTGCATCCAGATTGTTCAGAATGTCATGAGTGATAAATTTGGAATAACCCCCAGGATCGAGAGAGCTCACTGAGATGGTAAGCCCGATGCTGATCGTCCACGACACATCCTCTTTAAGTTCTTATCATTTCGCGACAAAGTTACCGTTATGAAGTCTAAACGAGCATCTCTAGCCAACGAAAACTACTTCATGATCGATGACCTCACTAAAGATGATCTCACAAAAAAGCAAAGGCATGCTCAAGAAGTAAGTCGTCTCTATCAACAGGGGACGAAGCTAAAGTTCTCAGCGGGAAAATGGCGCCATATGAATGGAACCCCGTTCGACTTTACATCAGATGCTTAAAGGAGAAATCAAGAGAGTAAATATGCCTATTCCTCCTGAAATTTTCGCATACTCGTTATACTCATGAGTCAGCTAATGTTCAAGTCGCTGATTACCATGAGCCATCTGTATGTTTTTTATATCTTTTACCTTTTTTACTTCCTAGGAGACAGTGATCTCATGACCATGTTGTATACTCATGAGACAGAAGTTCTCATGATGAACCTTTCTGTACATTTTTCACATCTTCTACATTTTGTACTTTCTAGGAGACAGTGATCTCATGAACATGTTGTATATTACAAAAATGTTAATAAATACAAAAATACAAAATACAATGCACCCGTAAGAGATAGAAAGTATAAAGGCCTACATCCCCTTCCACAAATTTCAGTGTATCAACTGTTGTTGCTAATTACTGTGATTGCATCAATAAAGCATGAGTGAAATTACTAGGTATTTGGTCATTTGTGGTCTCACATGTTGAGTTATTGTGTAGAGAGATAGTTCGGAGATAGCACTTGTTAAATTAAATGACCCCAAATATTAACCTGCAGATAGAGGTAATTTAAACAATACTGTAAAATTCATCCAGACGACTGTTTGACAGTTATCTTGAAAGTGATGAATCATTATTCATCTATCCATCGGCGGTACATTCTTTAATACGCAGGTGAGATTATTCTTTTCAAGGCGATACAAAAGGTATTCATGAAGCATATCCATCACTTTGGGAGTGATTATTATATTCAAATGCAGTTGGACGTCTTCATGTGTAAAAATCTATTGAAATTTTGGGGAAGTTTGTACATCTGGTATCTCCGAAGAGCTTTATAGCCCGGTAATTAACACCCCCTCCCCCCACCCCCCATATCGTCTCCAATGCTTTAAAGGTGAAATTCAAAGAAAATCACAAATATGTCAACTAATGTATCACTAAAAACTGGTACGCTAACAGATGGCCATCGTACAAGTTTAAGATCAACTACATATCGGGTGATTTATCAAAAAATATATAAATACAACCACCTCCATAGCAGCAGTGATATACGAGAGATTCGCCGGAAAAAAACCAATGTTTTAATGACGTCACTATATGGACCAATACTGCCCAAGCAGACGAAATCCCATAAAGAATGAACATAATTGCAAAGCTATTATTTCTCAAATTATAATGATTTTAGTGTATATAAATGTAATGGCATGTCAAACCATTCAAAAGGGGATATGACCCGATTTTGATTACTAAAATCTTTTGCTTGTAAATACACAGGATAGGGGTTAATTAACAATCCAAGAAACCAGACTTTCAAATTGAAAAACCCCCGGAATGATATTAAGGACGGCATTTGTTCCCTCTTGAAACGCCGAACATACCGCGGTGTGTGTAGCTGAATATACAAAGGCGTCTTATTTTGTTTGCAAGCGACAGATTCCTTTATTTTTGTATCGCTGCATTTGTCATCAAAATAAAACCATGCGCGGGGTTTAGAGTGAGGCAATAGATTATTCATTAAACCTGACGGTAGTAAAGTATGAGAAAGAACTCAAGAGAAGATGAAAACACAGGCACTGAAAATGTGTGAGATGTCATGGTACATCGTCTACTTGTGCAAATCATGTCCATACTGTGATCTCACACATCTCAGCACCGTTCGGAGAGCTCCTCAGGTGCTATGCCGGGGCTGTATTTAAGCGTTTGTGAAATTTATAATAATCATTACTTCGGATGTGTCCAAGCATTGAATTTTAATAACCTTGTCGAAAGAAAATTTCAACTTTGCAATAATGAAAATAAAGTTAGTTTTTTAAAATCAATGAATATCTACTTTAAAAACTTACTTGAAAATTGTTTTGAAGTTGATGGGTCATTCAGTGACTGCCAGAGAGAAGAAGCCAAGGATAAAGTTGTGAATGAAATCGTTAGTTACAGCATACCACACTTACGGTACTAGTATTTCATGAGCTAATACAAATTACAAATATATATCATTATTCTATTCGTAATTACCACCTTTTCAAATTCATGTTCCAGTACATCTATGCTCTGCGTGGCTCGAACAAATCCAATATTATCACAATAGATGAGTGAAGATCCTGAACAAATGTCCTTTTCACTTAATACAACGATCAATTGATACGTGAAAAAACTACACGGTACCACATTGATCAGATAAATGCAATATGAACATGAATACTGTGAAGAGCTTTGTAATTTCGATTATGACTTTGTGAACGCAAGTTCACAGGCTACTGATCATGCTGAATTCCCCTTCCTTGTTTGGGAGACTCTGTGAAGAAGGGCCTCGTTTCATCAAACATGCAATCAATAACAACGTGCGAAAATTATATGACAAATCTGCTCTCAACCAATCAAATGCGATGATTTCAGTACCCTATAACAGTTATTAAACTTGTCATGGATGACACATTTTGTGAAACAGGGCCCAGAACAATGTTTGCGTTCCTGCACTCTTTTGTTCGACTTCTATCAGTGAACTTAAAGGGTATTGTATGAATAGTAGACGGCATGAGTCATTTTCAGAGTCAATTTCCACTTTTAGGTACTGTATGCAGAGTTGGTTAGTCTGCATGATAATACTATCACAAAATATTATGTACCATTTGTGTACGTGAATACGTAATTTGTCTAGCAGACATCGGTGTCGCGGTTTGTAATGAAAGATTTAAATGTCGAATTAGCACCGTGAGGATTATGTGTTTTAGATTTGAACACAACTCTCTCTCTCTCTCTCTCTTTCTCTCTCCCTAGTTCCCCCCCCCCCCCCCTCTCTCTCTCTCTCTCTCTCTCTCTCTCTTTTTATTACCACTCCGCCTCGACCCACCTACTCTCTGCCTGGCAACTTTGGTTACAAATATACTGTGTATTTCATTTAAACTTTCAAATTTTGGACCAAACGGGAAACGTGTTTGTTGTTGTTGTTATTTTTATTTAGTACGTATACTGGGAGAATGTTGATATTTTAAACAGAAAGTATAGGATATTATGTCTAATGTATTTCATATTCTATGGGATTATCCTTGAAAACTACGCTTAGTCAAAAGATATTAAAGGTAATACAAATTTTTGGTATGGGGTCGTGAATTTGGTTCAAATGAACATATTGGAAGCATATGCGATCCTACAATATTCAGTGATCGTTGTCGCGGTTAAAGTCGAGTCTAAAGTTATGAAATTGTAAACAATAAACTCTTTATTTTGTATAGCTCCCTCTCAAGGTCGAGATATTAATTAAGCTATAAAACAATGTTTCTTGACTAAAATCTACCAATTAGCTATTCCCGTTTGGAAATAATATATCACAACAACATATTCTGAAATTTTCATGGTCGTAGCTATCATTGTACGGCCGTAGGCGCTATTTGAAATTTATCAAAATTTACCGGGAGCACCGGTAAATATTTATATTCAATTTGTCTCGAAAGCAGAAGTGTTTTAGGGCCTAATTTTTTAGTGCCTATAATACATCCACAGGGGCATCCAAATATATTAAAATTTTAAAGAATCACTATCCACCCAATTTTCAAAATTTCCCAAAACTTTGTGTTACCTTTAACATTTATATCATCATTTTAAGTAGAACATAATTGCTACATTGTATAATATATGGATTACAAAAAATCGTTAAAGAAAATGATACATTAGTCTGTAAAATATTTCAAGGAAATTATGACCCTATGTCATGCATTATACAAAAGTCAAACAACTCTATGACTTAGAATGATTGTATCTATCCGCTACAAACAGCCATCTATGCAGTTAACTATTCTTAGATATATACTAACCAGTACAGGTCAAAATCTTGAAGTCTGGCAATTGAAACACTATTGTGAGCTTTCTCATATTTCATATCAGTTTAGAAGAAGGTCATATTAAAAGTTTTCCCTATAAAGGATTGCTTTCCTCTTGTATTCATATTGAGGATAAATTTATGTCGAGATTCCCGCCAGCGTCTTATTTTTTCGTACCACGGCGAGCCCAGATTCCAGTATGAACTCATTTTCATACATAAGAAGCTACGTAAGCTTGCAAAGAGGTCACAAACAATTAGACTTTGATTATTTATTGCTTTGCCTCACTATTTATAAAGGTAAAACAACTAAATAAACTGAGATTTGAACCCTCACGACAACACCAAGGTTCTATTAGTAACACGCTGTCCTTACGATTGAGCTAACGATGAGTTGATGAAAGATTGATTTGTATAATTAGTATCACCCTATTGACCACCCTACCGGATTCCACGTGCGCATGAGCTGGTTTCCTTCGCGAGTGCGCATGCGCAACTTTCCCTCGCGAGCTCAATCTGTGCTCGCCGTGGTACGAAAAAATAAGACGCTTCCCGCTACATGTATGTGCAGTCCCATAAACTCATTTATGTGTGCATTGCATGCGCTTTTCACTGAGACTGAGTAATTTTTAACATTTTTGATCAGTCCATATATGCTCCCAAAATCGTCGTGTTTCACATTCACACAAGCGAGACTGAGTTGATTCCTTACCATTTGTATTATTCCAAAGCCTTTTAATGAACCCAATGTAATTTTTAAATGTAATGACAAATACAAGATACCTGTTCAAACTTTTAAAATTATATCGACCACTCAATACATCTCCCCACTTTGCATATCATATTCACTCCCATCTACGTCAGCTCCATTCCTTCTCATTCCCAAATCATGAAAAAGGGCTGGCTTCAAATCCTTTTAATCAGATTGCGCCAACGCCTCTAGTATAAAGTCCCTACATTTCTCAAACATAGTTATTTACTCGACTTCTTTAAAAATAAATAAAACATGCCTCTGCAATTATTCTTAATTTGTTGATTGACGATAAAAGAGAGAGCGCCTTGTATCATTTGGAACAGGCGCGATAAACAGTGAGTTTGGAATTGGCAAATATCATAACATAATCACAACGGATGAATTAACTTTTAAAAAGATACAATACATCTATAATCTAATTACAAAACTGGATTTATAAATGCTTGCGTTTACCAAAAGCTATCTACAAAGACGTATAGTTTTCGCATGTACATGCATATACATATATATGTGTGTGTGTGTGTGTGTGTGCTCATTAGAAGATTTGTACACTTTGAATGAACATTTATCTACCTCGTGTCAGATGTGACTTTCTAAATAATTAATTTCTTTCGACTATGGTCACGTGACTAAATTATTCAATATATGAATCTGCATCCTGCCCGTTTTTTTCTTTTTCCATAGCCACGGTGTCGGTAACACATTTCAAACATGTTAAAGAGACTGTCGTTTAATTCGTATTCAGACGACTCAACGAAATCAATATCAACCCCACCTAATTTAATTAGCTGTATAAGTGAAATATGGAGGATGAAACTAAGACAATTGGGGAAATCCTTGTAAGACTTTAATTGATCGAATATTAATTTTGCAGAAGCGTGCATTAAGAATAATTCATAATGTCTACTGTTGTTCCCACACTAACCACTTATTTTTACAAGACAAAATTCCTGGCACCACGGTATCTTTATGTTCCAACTACTGTAATTAATAACGAGTTCAGTGGCGTACGCAGGATTTTTGTCAAGGGGGAGGGGGTTAAAATCGGGCCCAAAATTTCGCAACGACTCAGCCAGCCGCTGAATAAGCGGAGGGGGGGGGGGGGGGGATGTAAGAGGACACTTTTTTTTTTTGGTCTCGAAATTTGAAAATTCCGTATGGGGGGGGGAAGGGGTAAGGTCACCTTTTTTAGGTCAGCCATTGGCATTTTTTTTTTATTTTTTTTTTAAATTAAAAAAAAAATTAAAAAAAACAAAAAATCAAAAGGGGGTAGGGATTTTCCCAAAAAACAAATACAAGCCATACACATAAAAAAAAAAAAAACTCAAGGGGGGGGTTTAAACCCCTTTCCCCCCCCCCCCCCCCCCCTCCCCCTGCGTACGCGCCTGGACGAGTTACCTCTCCCGATTCCCTCCATTTCTCAAAAAAAAATTACCAGATACATTCATACCTTCATACCCCAATAGACAGTCGAACCACTGCCACACTCCTCAAATGAGAACAGCTTTCGCACAAAAAAACAATTATTTACACCGGTCCAGTATTTAAATAGATAGGGGCTCGAGCCCTCCGAGCCCCGCCGTTCCGCGGGCCCTGATAATCATATTTTAACATAGGCCTATTAAATCGCATCATATCGTATCTTACAATAAAAAATATCATGTCATGTCATATCACAATAAAATCAATTCGGTTTAGATTTATCATGATATGGATGACACAAACAGTTAAAATGAAAAATAATGACAACTTAGAATCAGTAATAACCAGGAGAGTGCATCGAAACAATATTCACTTTGACTTTGCATTAATTAAGCACGGCTCATCGTCTCAGCCATAATCCAATCCGATCGGGACCACGTGTAATGTCGTCATCTTAACTGCGGCAAATTTGACCCTGTTGACCCATAATTTGGAGGGGTGCGGGAAATCAAATGTTTACGGTGCAAAAAACGCGTATTTTGAAAGATGACTCTTGTTTTGATTTGCAAGGGACCCGCATTCAGAAGTAACGTTGGAGGGCGACAAGCTCGAGAGTAAACAAAGCACAGAGATCAATGAGATACATTTGTCCAAGGATGTTCAACTAACAAACAAAGAAATAACAATAATAATAATGATACTATTAATGATATTAAAAATAATAATAATGATAATTATAATGATAATAACCAGTGAACTGTTTATTGCACAGCTCCATCTCATGGTCAACTAACCAACAGTGCGTTACCCAATACCTAATTTCCACTGAGCAGACACAGGACTCAATGCGAAAACCAACAACACAGGTAAGACCAGACCACCTAATTTGTTCCGATGACGAATTAAATTTCTCGTTTGGGACTATACTGCTGCAGCTGACCTGAGAGGGGACTACATGGGAATTTGCAGAAGTGCTTCTAGTACAGAAATGGCTTTACAGTTCACCCTTGCCTCGGCTTAATAGTAATGATACATATTCAATCGAACTCCCTCTTGCAAGATCAGTACTAATAAAACTAATCATATCCTTGTTTATCATAGTGGTAATCCCTATCGTATCCGAAACCTTGATATTTTGCTGGCCTAACGCACACTATATCCTATTCATTATACAAAGAATGACAAAATGAACAACAACAAGATCAAAGATTATAAAGTAAAAGCCTATAATATTTTGACAAACTCGCTACATGTAAAACGTTACTTATAGAGCTCATGATATACAGTTAAACTTGTCTTCATAGCCACCTCTCTCTAGTGCTATGCAGTGGCGGATCCAGGGGGGGGGCCCGGGGGGCCCGGGCCCCCCCCCCTTGAGAAAAAAAATCATGTAAAATCACGTGATTTTTACGATTTTTGGGGGTTGGGCCCCCCCCCCTGGCGCTCAAGGGGGGGGTGCAAATTGAAATTTTTTTGAGGATCAAAAAAAAAAAAATGTGCTCACTACCCCCCCCCCCCCCCCCCCCCCCCCCCCCCCCCCCCCCCCCCCCCCCCCACTGAGCGAATTTTTGGCCGGCGCGTTTTTGAAATTTTCGGGGCAAAAAAAAAAAAAAAAAAAAAAAAAAAAAAAAAAAAAATTGTGCTCTGTACCCAACCCCCCCCCCCCCCCCCCCACTGAGCGACTTTTCGGCCGGTGCGATTTTCAAATTTTCGGGAGCAAAAAAAAAAAAAAGTTGGGCCCCCTCCCCTAAGAAATCCTGGATCCGCGCCTGGTGCTATGCATCTTGTCTCTCTTTTGAAAGCTAATTGTAGAAGATGGTTATGGAAAGGCAACAATTTTACAGTGAGTGGCCATTATTTTTCCGTTGAGTCACCTTAATAGTCAGGTTTGACTGTATTTAAAACTCGTTCTGGGCCCAACTTCATGGAATCATTTTACAACCGGCAACTCGTAGTCCGGCTCAGTATTCTCATTGGCTACTCCCGAGTTTGATTTCTTCACTCTAGCTGTTTGCTTCACTATTGTTTGATTTTCATATTCTACCCCCTCGATTGCATTCGTGTGACCTCTATTTCCGTGTCTAGGTGCTTTGATATCCTCGTAGGCTGGTTGCTTCACAGTTGTTGCATCTAAGGATGTGTAGGGATCTAGTTCCTGGACCTCCCTGTCACTGACTGACGGCTTTAGAGCGATTTTAGAGCGTCTGAAATGAAGGAATCATATATTATTGGGGAAATATAACAAAATTGTGTTATAGCATCAGCGCCTCCTATACAATTATTCAAATTAATATCATTATTTTATGAATTGGATTATTGTTATCATTATCAATATTATTATATTTTACTTACTTATTTATTATCATTATTATTACTAGTATTATGCATATGGGGCAATTGTGGGTGTTTATGAGTGCTGGGGCGCTATGGAAGACGGGGGCGGTGGGCTTTATCTATACTTTACCTGAGATGCAGGTACATCAATGTTATGATGATACCATACAAGGTAACAAAAGCGAGTAGTATGCCCACAGCGAGAGTGCTGGCCACATCTGAAGAAGAAAAACATCAGGAAATAATTTATAGACAATAGGCCCATTTAAACATCACCAATTTGGGGGCACTGCCATTTACACTCTGGAAAAACCCATAATAAACCTTCGGTGCTCAAATTCAGATTTTATTGTCCACGTTAAAAAAACAAACAGAAATTTGGCCTTCAAGGCAAGAGATAACAATGAATAGTATAAGTGTGCACAAAACAAAAACATCGATTAGATTAACAAACAGTTGAACACATTCTGACAAAAGTAAAGGCCTTCGCCTGGGAGAGGAGATAACAATGAAATCGGATGAAAAACGAAGTAAGATCCACGTAGATAAAGAGTTATTAGATCAGTTTGGTGAAATTCAGTCCTTAATTTCCTCTTCCAGGTATTACAGGCCCGTCCGTGTAATAGACGAACATTTTACAAGATGATTGACTGGATTGTCCATAATTAGAGGTCTTTAACCGAATGCATTATCGTTTTTATGTTTTATTGAGAAATGTGCATCCTTGTTGGTGCGTTTTCCTCTTCTTCTCTTTCTTTCTTTTTCTTTCTTTCTCTTCTTCGTCATTTTTGCAAATGCATGGGAGTCATACTTCGTCCAAGTTTTTATTAAAAGATTTCCTTTCTTCAGATATATTTCAAACAGCTTCTTAATATCAGTTATACTATTATTAATGTAAATTTGGAGCCACAATATCAAAATTAAAAAAAAGGTATACACCCTATATCAATTTTACCCCATGTTAAAAATAAAATCTATAATTACAAGAACAATTGCCACTGTGTTGGAGCGTTGTGGGCGTTTGCAAGGGTGTGATCATTGTTGATGACGTCACAGCGTCCTTGGTATTCCTGGTCGTCCCTGAGCTTGGTTGACTGGCTATCAGAGACACTTGGGTGGTCACTTCGTTAACCTTCTCAGTTGACACGACGGCGTTTGTCGTCTCAACAGTCTCGACCTGAACTACATATACGTGAAACAGGCGATTTACAAGGAAAGTCTCTAAGAATCTTGCACATAGCCCAGGGTATGAGTCAATTGTGTGTTTTTTAAGTATAGAAAGACGAATTATCATATTGTGACACGCGCTATAGAAGAGCAAAACAAACAAAAATCATCATACGCAGTATTGACGTCATTGAATGGATACAGACATGACTAGGGTATATCACATAAGCTGATGAGCATATATTCCACGAGTCGGCACGAGAGAAATATTTCCAAAGCAAGAGCGGTATTCACTGTATCTCACAAGGAAAAAGCAACCTATCATAATTATCATTATTATTATCATTATTATCATTATCATCCCATGTATTATTACAGTAATGATTGTTTTTAAATTGCATGGTCATTCGTGTGATTTTTGCAAAGCGTAAGATTTTTGTAATTAGCGCAAAACCCCCCTTTACATTAATTACACAGAATATTATTATCATTATTGTGAACACTATTTACAGTGACGTCGACCTATATCCTTGGTATTGCCTGATCATGCTAATTTAAAATGTACGTTTATCTATTCAGCCCAGCGCACACTACATGATCGTCCTGCAATCCGATTTTCGAAGAAAATGCACTTAGATATAGTGCACATTAGATAGGAGATCTTAACAAGCATCATCTTTCTGATTTAACTTCTAAATAATGATTAAAATACTATTATAATTTCAGTGCATTGAAATCTTCTAGTCTGATTATAAGACGACTCGGCTTCAAATCGTATTCAATTGCATTATAATTCTATAACGTGTGAGTCAAACAAAGGTTTACACTCAGAAAATTGTAATTTATTTTAAAGGTCAGCTATGAACGAAAGTTTATCTTACATATTTTGAAAGAATGTTATATCCCGGAATCGTTTGGTATCATTTTGGGGGGTATGTGTTCACGCTTGGATTATCAGGAGGTATTGTTTGCGAGAGTGCAAAAATCTAATTACGGAAAAGTATTACAATGAGAGAATGAATTGAATGTATGAAATGAGATGCATTGCATATGCTTTTTCAGAAGAAAAGTCACACACACACACACACACACACACCCATAGCACTTTTAGATGCAGACTGACCGGGTCCTTGGGAGAAAAAATTCATTGTGATGCACGCACTTTCATTACGGCATTATGATTGAATTACAAATCCGTTTTGATATTAAATGAGAAATTTGCGATTTTACAGAAATGTTCATTACGTAAAAATGACTTGGCAACGTGTATTTTTCATTTATCTGGGTGTGCGAGTAAATGCGCCGAAGTGTGAATGTTTACGGGGGCGGTTAAGTAGGGGAAGGGGTGGAGGGGTGGCCGGCAAAGGGTTCATTGTATACAAATAGGTAATATAACTTTATTTTATTGTTCATGAATGATGGTAATTAAGTTGAGTATGTGATTATTATCATTATAAAAATTTAGTGATTTCATTCCATTGTTCTCCTTCTTTGCTCGGTGTTTTGTGAATAATTAATTTATGTCATGAAAACGAATTGAAGATCTGTATTCGTATGGAATTGTTTACATGGATTTTTATAAAAAATGATTTATTTTGAATGAAATCTCTAATAAAAAAAATATTGAAGAAAAAATTGTGTGTGTGTGTGTGTGTGTGTGTGTGTATTTTTGCGGTGTTTGTTTGTGTGAATGACTTAGTGTGACTCTGTGTGTTTTTTGATATGTGTGGTATGATTAATTTACCTAGGGATGTTGTGTGCATCTGCAAAGACTCAAATCCCAATTGTTTTAATCAAACATAACATAGGCATCACTTTGGCACAAGTCGATTTTTGCACTCTCTTAAATAATGTCTCCTGTTCATCAAATCGTGACCACATACCACACAAAAATGGTACCAAATGATTCGGGATAAAACACTCTTTCATAGGATGTATACTTATTTACTGTTCATAAATTAATTTTTAAATAATTAGCGATTTTATAGGTGTAAACTTTTTGTTGACTCACACTGTTTACGATTCTGAGCCGATCGTTTAACTTTTCCTTTTCCAATGAGGCTTTGAACCCTTTGAAATTTAGAATTGTTTAATCATATGACTATTATGATTTTCTGTCAGTAAGAATGTGCATGCTTGAATGTTCAAATCAAATGCTAATGCAATTTTTTTCTCGATAATCCAATCTTATTGTGTGCGTAATTCTTTATATGAAAACTTATGGAAGCTGCGTATTGTGTTTTTTTTTTTCTTTAAAAATAGTAATCGGAATCGTGACTGAAGATGTGATAATGACAGCGTCATTTCACTTGGTTTAGTCATGGACCTATTACGGATGGACATTCATCGTTTTCTTAACGAGTTCATTGTGATTGTCTCCGTCAATGGCGTCTCAATAACATTCCGTACACGTTTCTTCACTTTGATCTCATGATGGTCACCGCCAAAAAGCCGGGACAGAATCAAGACAGTGATTTTACACATGTTAATCTACATGCACAGAAGATAATAACTCGCCTAAATCGTGGAAAATCGATGTGCAGTTCTGGCCTATATTAAATCGGAAATTGTTGTTCCGTGTACCGTATTTTATTTTGAAAAACATGTTGATATTACCAGATATAGGTTATATCTGGATTGATTGTGATTTAAAATCCCGTTTCCCCCTATTTCCTCAAAATATTCCAGAGTTACAACGCACAGGGCTTGTAAAGATCATGGCCTTCTAATTGTTTTATAAGGTCATGGGTGTGGGCGAAAGTGTGCAAATCAGTAATAATACATTTCATATCACCAAAATCGGCTGCTTTTCAACTTTGCTGCTCCCCATTGGGGAAGTTTTTCTTTAAAGTTAAAGACCAGTATTGGAAACGCCCCAATTTCAAAAAGCGAAATGGAAGCTCTTATTACCAATCATGAGAAAGAATATGTTTTGACTAATACATGATGATAACAATTTTGCCGGGAAACCGCCTACTAATTGATATATTTGGTAAATTAGTTTATCTATCGGTATGTGAGAGATAAACGCACGTGTCGCCCACGTGTGCGTAGTCCAATATACATCTTTCTGTGTACAGTGCTTTTAACTTTACGAAGACTGGGCCAAATTTCTTATCATTTTTATGATTCCAGAACCTTGCAGTACACACCAATACTTATATGCTAGATGATCAACCTTTTCTGATCGATTCCACAACGTTTCTTTCACAATTCAATCGCATGACCATAACCGGTCTTTATATTTAAGACACACTTACAGATCACACCATCCAAACAAAACACAAGAGAGGGAAACTGCTCCTTTGTCAATGACCGAAAATGTTTACGCAGTTGTTATTGTTAAAACAGCTGAATGTTCTCATTAAGATGCACATAATCAGAAGGCGGTGACTATCATAGGGTCAAAGGAATCACGTTGAATGTCCATCCGTAATAGGTCCATGGTTAAGTTTAGTTTAAGCTTCAGTTTTTATTTTCATAGTCCATGAGACGATTCGTCTCGCTTACATTAATGGCAAGGAATAATTAAAGATGTAAACATAAAAAGCAGGAAACCGACCTTGTCCAAAACTCGATAGACGGATCTAATTAGGGGGAAGCCTCCCCTTCCCACCCCTATGAAGTCAAGACCTTCATATTCTCTCCACCGTATGCTTCGCAACGGTCTTGGAATGTACGTTGGATCACAATTATTATTTTGCCCCCCCCCCTTCCGACACTCCTGCATCCGCTTGTGGTTACAGGTACATAGATATAAACGAAATCGTTAAATATTCACAACTTTTAATGAGGATATCATGTCAAGTGTGATGGATTTCATAAACGTAGCGAGTCGAAACTTGCACAATCATGAACCTTATTAGTGGTTGATTTTTTTTGTTAATTTGAAGACGACAAAACATTTTTTTTTTTTTTTTTTTTTTAAAGTTTAGTTTAGTTTTTTATCAATGCTCGGTATTCCAGGATGTCCAAATTAGTGACACATCCGGGTGATTTAAATATATTTATGATGGCACTCACTTGTAAAAACAGAGATAAATCCGATCCCACCACAGCTTTCGGTAGGATCTCCTGAACATGGGTTCTGACAAAACTCATTTGGTACCTCTCCATGTCTAGAATACCTGGCATCAGCTTCACCACAGTAACAATCCGTTCCAAGTTCTACTCCTGCGTATGTGTAGTTAGCTGTGGTTGACTCAACACAAAACTGGATACAATAGGAAATGGTCATATTTGGATCGGGAAATAAATTATCACCAGGTAAAGCTCGATCATCCGGTTGATCCCTAAAGCATCCAAGATAACCTTCACCTGTATACAAAAAAAATACCCATCAAAGTACTGATGTTGAGGTTCCATACAGTAGTAGCTGTTTGTCGCGAAGCGACAATGACCGCGTTTATTTCACCCAACAGCTGTTTTCCATACAGCTCGCCGGCCTGCAGCAGTTGATTTAAGGTTCCATATAAGAAATAAATATATATGAATAGAAAGAAAACCAAAAATAACCTGTACCTTTGGCATGTCAGTTATAGGCTTAAAAAGATTAAGAAAACAGGCAAAAAAAGTCATGCAATGGTTCAAAACAGACCCTCCAGAATGTATGAAAGAAAGAATACTGATGGAGAAAATTCATGCTGTCATTATAAACGTACAAATTTGATTTTTTTTTTTCAAACCGGATGACACTCCAAATGAGGCAACCCCCCCCCCCCCTCCCCCCCCCCCAAAAAAAGAAGAAGCTAAACAAACTAGAGGGTATAGGCATATGGCACATCAGGTCTATGCAAGTACATGTTAAGGCAAATATATACATAGATATAGATATAGAGCCAAAATACACAATCACGCACCCACAACACATACAAACATACGGAATCCATAAAACTAAATGTACGATTAAATCAATTGATTTCCGCCAATAAAAGGGAACGCCCAAAATAGGCTCCTCGCGCCTATTGTGTTAATTTGAATACACGAACATCGAAATTCAAAGCACGAAATTTGAAATCGTATGTACATACAGTACTTCGTACGCATGTTAAATAAAACTTTTTTGCCCTACAAATAAATCGAATGCATATAACACATTTTAGAATGCCTTTAAGTGATAAATTTTGCCGATGAATCAATTTAAATGCCTATAAATTTATTCGAGTGTCTCCAAATGAATTTTACTGCTCAGATTTGATATTTGAAAGACCGATATCGATCGTGAGACGATAATGCGTAAATTTGAAAGCGCCTTATTTTATTTAAGTGACAAACACATTACATTGGAGGGAAACCTATATAAACCCAATAAAACATAGCTGCAGTGGGACAATTTATAAAAAGTACTCTTGCCAGACACGTATGTATCATGGAACATTGGAACCTACAACCTAGGGCCATAGACTATATTGCACCCTTTCCCATTTTGTTCACTTGTTATATTTTTTTTTTAATGGACAAGGAGGAGTGTTTTATTGAATGCTCAGATCGTTGTTTAATTGGTATTCGGCACAAATCATGAGATTCCGTTAACACTCATTAACAATGGGAGTACAAAATTCTTAAGTTCAATTTGGGAGAAACTTTCATCAACTGGGGTATGTTATAAATTTTGGTGTGATGTTCCCCTCTCCCCTCCCCCCATCCCCCCCCCCCTCCCCGTCATAAATCGGGTGGATATTTCTTACTTGAGTTATATAATGACTTTCTCATTATTGTTACACAATTCTCTAAATCTTGTTTCACGAGCTTAAAGATAAACTTGAGTTATGGTAATGCGATTGCATTGTGAAAGAAAAGGTGTGGAATGGATCAGAAAAGTTGATCATAAAGCATGTAAGTAATGGTGTGTAATGTAAGGTTCTGGAGTCATCAAAATCATCATAAATTTGGCAGAGTCTTGGTAAAGTAACAATCACTTACACAGAAAGATGTATATGGGACAACACACATGGTGTCGGGGCTAGTACTACCCTGATTTCCTTATCTTTCTATGCTCATTACTCAGCCAGTATACATTTTCTTCCAAAATTGTTTGGCACATGACATTTATTTGTAATCTTGAACATTCAGTGTAAGTTTCGTTAGATTCTATGAGAATTCATTTTCTTTTTTTACCAGAACTCAAGTTTATCTTTAGGGTGGTAATATAATTCACCAGAAAAAGTTACCATGACACGAAGCTCCTCCTGCATCCGAGCAAGTCATTGCCGATTGAAACAATAGACACTTTGACAAGTCAGTTTCATCTGAAATATATCAAATTGTAAAGAACATAATATGGATGTACGATCCTGTTGTAAATTCAGTCTCAAAACAATAAATTCAAATTACTTTGGAAAAATAGTTAACTATGTGAATTGAACGTGCGCTGGGAGATCACCTTTAAAGAGCAAATGCGTCATACTCATTTCACTCAGGATGGATAGGTGGGAAAATATATTAAAATAAACCATAATACATTTTCTTAAAATGACAAAATGAATATCAACAACTTAAAGCTATGTACCATAAAGAACAACATAAATCCCCCCCCCCCCCCCCACTCACCTTCCAATCGTAAACTAGGGTCGGATTTTCTTAGTGTACGTACTGAAAGGTTAATAGGGCGCTTTAGTAACGAGACGGCACGCACAGGAGACGGAGTGTTTAACCAACTGTGACGGGTCTCGCACTCTTGTTACCGTCGTGATGTTTAAGCGCTTTCGCTGTCTGCTAAAGGCGACGGGGACGCAAAGCCGCGCTGAACTGCACACCTGCTGCATTTTGGTGCTAGTGCTCTTGGGCCTCGAGGCTTGGCCGGAGCGCCGGGGCAATAGACCCGGCGGTGGGCTGTAGTGCGCAGCGTGCAGGCACGTCATGCATAACAATGAAAAAGGGCCCCAAAAGTAGGCCTAAACGGCCAAACCATCAATTTATTGTAGATTGAGGTATAGATACCGAACAGACATTGGAAACACTAGTAGATTCCCTGTCTTTATCTTCAGTAGGGCCCTGCATTGTTAGATCTAGATACAAATTATTTGTCAGCTCTCTCTCTTACGTCGTGTTTAGGGAACGAACGCTATGTTGGCCGAGTACCGTTCCGAAAATCGACGGGACGGAGAGAATTCAGAATCGCGCATGCGCAGTTTGTTTTTTTCGCTCGCATTACCGTCTCCTGTGCGTACCGTCTCGTTACTAAAGCGCCCTACTAACCCGGCAAAAGCCAAAAGCACCGTCGACCGAGCAAATGAAAATGAATGCTGTATTCATCACTTTGTTTAAAGGTTGCCAACAAATATATAAAATAGTGTAATGAGCCTCATTTTAGTTTTCTTACAAAGTGCAGTAGTTTGCAGCTTAAATGAGCTCTTGACACGTTACGAACTGAGGTAAGCAATTTGTAACCTCTTCTGCCTTTGACAATAAACCCCCCCCCCCCGTCACCATCCAATCGCAAGCCAGGGTCGACTTTCCTTAGTGTAGTGTACGCACTGAAAGGTTAATAACCCGGCAAAAGGATACAGCACCGTCGACCAAATGAAAATTAATGATGTCTACTTGTATTCATCACTTTGTTTAAAGGTTTCCACAAATATACAAAATAATCTAATGAGCCTTATTATTTTCTTTACAAAGGTGCAGAATTTTCCAGCTTATAGGAGAGGTTGACACGTGTAAACTAAGGTAAGCAATTTGTAACCTCTTCTGCCTTTGACAATACAACCCAACATGACTAATGGGTTTTCGAGGACCTGTAGCATACGCAAGACTTGATGCATGGCTGATCGTCAACTCTGTTTATTGCTAGGCAGCCAGTGAAAACGAATTCGTTTAATTAAATTATAGAAATGCAAGCATTACTTTAAACAAACAGAACTTTGTTATTTCTGGACAATTTTTCCTGATTGAGGTGTCAGAAAACGAACTTTCTAGAAATGTGATTTTCTCTTTAAAATTCAGATATCACCCGCCAAATGACTTTTAGGTTTCCTGTCTTCAAATTGTGTTTAATCACGCATGCGTGACAAATACATCATATGAGTTGCAACACATGAAGGAAGAGGATCATATCTTTACAGATATGTGTCATTTATTAATTATAACTGTGATTAAGTTATGAAAAAAAAACGATTATTCTCGGTTTCGTTTTTTCTGGGACGCACTGTTCACTGCAAAAACAAGGGTGTTAAATTCACCACCATTGGTGTTAAATTTAAAACTTTCCCGGTAGCTATATCGGAAGACACCAGTAAGTATAAATTATATTTATTTACCTCCAATACATCCCAGCCCTCTGGTGGGAGTTGAACTCTGTCCATAAGGTGTGTATTTTATCGCTGTGTTTGCTCCTGTGAATCCCAACTGTCTACAGATGACAATGATGTCACCAATACCAAGATTTACTCCACATGTTGTCTCCCATGTCCCATTGTCTATCCTGATCTCAACCGTGCCTTTATTGGAGGTTGGACTACCAACAAGTCGTACATCTGTGAACATGCAATAATTAACCAATGGTGATTGTTCTTGAAACTAGCCAAGCCTAGCCAGCAATTGCTGGGTTATTTTAGCTTATAGGGATCGAACCACCACCTTTGAATTGCAAGTCAAATACCTAAAACACTCGGCCACGGCACTTCTAGTATTAGTAGGAGTACTGATGATGGATGCTAATATATGATAACATGAATTGTTCCTGTTCTTTGTTACACTTCTTACTACTATTTGTACATGTATGAGGGCATTGAGGGGGGAAAGTTTGCAAAAGTAAAGTTCTCAGAAAACTAGGAAAATCACCCATGGAGCAATTCCTAATAAGAAACTACAACTAAATAATTTTCTTGCAATCTAATGTTTTACTGGTTTAATAAGAGCTAATAATTCCGTAGACAAATAATCTGCTTTTACTTTCATCAAAGGCTAAGTTTTATTCCTAGATAGACAATCGCTATCGCAAATGTTTTCCTGAAAAGACGTTTTGAATATTCGACGTTAAGGAAACATTTGCTTCGTATAAAGATCGTCTCTTGTCATCATGGGTTAGGGGATGGTCTGTGTTATGTATTATGAATATGCACTACTTCTCAAAGAAATGGGTTTATGTTTAATGTGGAAATATGAGAATTGGAAGACTAACATCTGAAAATGCTCGTTCTCACAAGTTATAATTCCTGTACTACTACAATCATCGGTACAGTAATATAATTTATAGGCTCTTTAGATAGGTTGATTTCTTATTTACAGATGTACACAATACGTAAATGGGACAATGACTGAATAATACGTGGCCTTTAATTTCATATACATGTTGCCTACTAAGCCACATTTTCTATTGGAGGACTGCACCAACGACTGGCACGGACTTTGGCGGGCCATGTTCGGAGTGACTTCAGAAACACAGAGAATGCGAAAATGAACATGGTAAATATTAATTGCGTTAGAAATTCGCATCTCGTGTGTACTGGCTACTAAGCGGGCCATTAAGTATCTTTCGCGGCTGTCTATAACGTCGTAGTAAACGAGTAGTTATTTTCATTGCATTATTACCTGTACTAATCGGGCCTGTGAAGGCAACGGACCCATACATAACTTACTAAAAATATCGTTTTTACTCTTCATTTTACAAACACTTTTTGTACATTTTCAATTTTATATGGGGTTTCAAAGACCACACCATTCATTGACGCAGCCCTACGTCATGCAAATAACGCCTCGTGTGCAACGTGCATTGGTTACCTGTTATGACACATCGGGCCATGTGATTGCTGCACTGCGTCAAAAGAACCACCAGGAATACAAAGATGATATGATGCCGATCCATTTTGGGTTATACTATGAATCACCGCTGAATCTGCAGATTGAATTGGGGTCGAATTTTAGCAGTCCTTTTCGTCATGATCGTAAGCTTTATTCAATTAAATTGTGAGGTTCATTGTGATAATGAAATCATATTCAAACACGTTGTTATAATACAAATCATTGCGTATAAACAGTAATGATGCTTACATGGGAAGGATATGGTGTAGGAATGACACTTGTGAGAAAAAAAAGTATATAGGCTCACATCCCCGTCCCCAAATATTAGTGAATCAACTGTAGTTGCTATTAAGTTTACTGTGATTGCATTAATATTGCAGAAGAAAAATTCCTAGGTCCTAGTCCATCAAGACCTTTACTGGATAAGTGTTCTTGAAATTAACTAAATTATTATTAATTTAGCTTTGAGCGGGACATTCTATGATAAACAGGTTGAAGTATTGTTTTACAGAAGGCAAGACAAAAGTTTTTCATGAAGCCCTTGCATCACTTAGGGAGTGATATATCGATAGTTGGGGCTCTTTTGTTCAAAAGCTATCTCCGAGGTGGCTTATAGCCTAGTAATGAACACGCACCGCCCCCCCCCCCGTCCCCTTTACCTGCAATATTCAGTTAAAACGTTTTTTGAGGATTTTGGTTCATCCAGTGACCGCCAGAAGAAGCTGATAAGAAATCGGTGACAGAAATCGTAAGTTATGCACATCAACCATACTTGCAGTACTAATATTTCATAAGCTTATGCACACTAAAATGTCTATAAATATATATTATCATTCTATTCGAAATTCCCATCTTCTCAAAGTCATGTTCCAGTATATCTATGCTCTGCATGGCTCGAATCCATCCGGTATTATCCGCAATCAATAAATAGTGGAGATCCTGAACAAATGTCCTTTTCAATTAACACTGATACACTGATAATACTGAACAATGATACGTGAACAAGCTACACGCTACCACAGCTACTGCAAGGACCAGATAAATGCAATATGAAAATGAATACTGTGAATAATTTGTAATAATTGATTATGACTTCGTAAACGCAAGTTGACAGGCGACATGAAAATGAATACTGTGAATAATTTGTAATAATTGATTATGACTTCGTAAACGCAAGTTGACAGGCGACTTATCACGATAGGTTCCTTGCTGAATTCCCCTTCTTTGCCTCAGCGACTGTGTGAAGCAGGGCCTCGTTTCACAAAACCAGCCTTCAATAACAAAGTGCGAAAATCCTATGACAAAGCTGCTCTTCGCCAATCAAATGCGATGTTTTCAGTTGATTATAACAGTTATTGCCACTTGTTATGAATAACACATTTTGTGAAACAGGTCCCGGAACAAAGTGTGCATGTCATTCTGGCGCTCCTTCTTTTTTTGTCACAAAGGAACCGTCTTTTGTTCGATTTCTATAAATGTACTTTTGAATTTTTGAATTAATAATGGACGGCATGAGTCATTTTCAGAGTCAAGTTCCGCTTTCTGGTACATGTAGGCAGAGTTATTTTAACGTCAGGTATAAAGTCTGAATGTTATTTCTATAAAATTCGTGTTCCTGAAAACGTAATTCATATATCAAACAAATTCGTTGAGCGGTGTAGCGGTTTGTAATCAAAGTTTTAAATTAGCAACATGTAGAATACCTGTATTAAATTTAACATGATTATTTTTTTTATGGTAGACAAAATATATATATTGCTCTGTTATTACACCTTTGTAATAGTTTAGGAATGTTCAATATAAACAATTTCATTGTTTTCCCAAATATAAGCCACAAAGAGAAAAGTCCAGCCCTCTCTTATGCAGTACATACGAACTTATGTGTCAATTGGCAAGAAATCAATCCCCATTTGCCACTCCATACCCAGAAAGTAATGGGGACCTGTTATAATCACAAACGCTTTTGTGGTAGACGAAACTCGCCAGGGAGAGGAATTGGGCACACTGTGGAATGCTGTGTACGTTGATGAATCCGGTCCATATATCCAAAGCGCTTAGAGACGGTATTCCGTATTAAACATTAACTACATTATTCCAGGTCTATCATGTTTATAAGGCCTACTGAGAAGTTTCAGAAAGATAAAAACGAAATTTTGCTCATTTTTTTCTCCCATTTTTGAAGAATTTTTTTGGCAACGACTCAGCCTGCCGCTGAATAAGCGAGGGGGGCGGTTAGAGCAGATATTTTTTTGGCCCCCTTTAGCACTCAACAAATATCTGAGGGGGGATTACCCCGTACGCGTCTGATATAGCACTTCGGTTCACAAGCTAGAAACTATACATGCGTTTACAAGTGCAACGGTGGATGTTTATATGTGTAGTTGTACATAATAATGGCCAGTACAGCCCGTCATAAATGTGTTTTGCCATGGTAGAGAGGGTCTGAATACAGTGCTGAAGTTAATTGCATGAGCATCAATTATCCAAGAGTTTAAAGACATACTTTTATAATACAATGTGTGATTTATATGACAACTATATGTACTCCTACTAATAGGACCTTCCATGTTTAAAATGTTGGTATGCAAATGCACATTGCGATGCTATTATTATTTGCAAGTTACCCTAGGTTATGTAAACAGCAGTGTGTTGTTATTGATTTTTGTTTGGTGCCTGTGGTGTTTCACACAATATAGACACAAAATGATTTTATTTGACTTGTTATGGAATGGGCGTGAGCTTCACAGGTGGCTGAAAAAGAGGAACTGGAACAAAATACATTGACACGTATTCAGATTTAACGTTGATGATTCGTTTATGTATATACCTGGGGGTGGGGGGTCACAGAGCCTAAAATCGACTTTAAGTTGGACTTAACTATGGCAGGTCATTTGTGCCACTGGTTGCTCTCACCATTATGATCTTTAGATAATATTTTTCCCTTAAATAATGAATTATTAAAGAATAGTAATTCTGTAAATTTGTGACCATGATTTGTCCGTCCCTTGAGAGACCAATGCCAGTAAATGGTGAGATCAAACAGTTGCATAAACGGCCTGCCATAGTTAAGTCCAACTTAGAGTCGATCGTAGACCTCTGTTACAGTGAGCAAAAGGCCGGGCCAGGCCTCGCACTGTAAACGAGCAAAAGGCCAAATACGAGGCCAAACTGGCCGCGCATTTGGCCTTGCTCTGGAGGTAGTCTCGGCCGCGGCCTGGCTAGGCATTTTCTCACTGTTAACGCACGCATGGCCAGGCCGCGCATATTTTTGGATTTGCATCATATCATCCTTGTGTCCCTGGTAGTTCTTGTGACGCAGTGCAGCAATCACATGGTCAGATGTGTCATAACAGGTAACCAATGCAATTGCACACGAGGCGTTATTTGCATGACGTATGACTGCGTCATTGAATGATGTGGTCTCTGAAACCCATGTTAAAATGACATCGTACAAAAAGTGATAGTAAAATAACCAATACAACAATATTTGTAAGTAACTTGTTTATGGCCTTGGTGCCTTAACAGGCATGATTAGCGCAGGTAATGATGCAATACAAAATAACACCGCGTTTACAACGGCGTCATAAAGCCGTTGAAAGACGGTGAAAGATAATTAATGGCCACTCATTGCCAATATGCAAATTCTAAAGCAATGCATTTGCCATGATTCTACGCAATGCTTACCCTGTTCATTTTTGCATTCATTTTTTTTTCCAAAGTCACTCGCACACGGGGCGCCACAGACCTCAACAGTCGTTAATGCACTCCTCCAACAGAAAATGAAGCTTTGCATGGAACAGACATGTTTAATTAACAACCATGGATATGCAATAATATGCCTAAAGACCTATTTTGCTTCGCTATCTCAAATTATTTCTATTGAGTTATCAAAATACAGTAAACTTGTAAGTAAGGAAGCGACCTATATAAAGAAACCTACAGATTATAGGACTGTACAGATGATATTAGAAGTACAAGAAATACACCTTTTTGGAGAAAAAAAAACAATTGCGATAATTATGTCAGTCTCCCACTTCTCATATTTTCACATTAAACATTTCCATTTCTATGAGAAGTAGTGCATATTCCTACAACAGTGTACAGACAATCCCCTATGCAATGCTGCTAATAAACGAACTTCATATTAAGCAAGTATTTCTTTAACGATGAATTTTCAAACCACCCTTTTCAAGAGTAAATTTGCTAAATTGCAATGCTTCTTTCTATAGAGACAAAATTCTGCCTTTTGACGAACAGTAAAAACTGATTATTTGTCTACGGAATTATGAGCTTTTATTAAATGGCAAAGCATTACGTTAGAACAAAACATTAGTAATAGTAGTTGTCGTTTTTATCCAAAACAGATTGCTCCGCTCAGGCGCGGATCCAGGATTATTAGAGGAGGGGGCCCAATTTTATATTTGTTTTGCTCCCGAAAATTTGAAAATCGCGGCGGCCGAAAAGTCGCTCAGTGGGGGGGGGGGGGGGGGGGGGAAGGAGTGGGGTGGGGGCGGATGGGGGGAGGGGTAGTGAGCACATTTTTTGGGGGGCCCTCGAAAATTTTAAAATTTACATCCCCCCCCCCCCCCCCCATTGAGCGCCAGGGGGCATCCCCAAAAAAGGTAAAAATCACGTTTTCGTACACGTTTTTTTCCAAGGGAGGGGGAGCCCGGACCCCCCCCCCCCCCCCCCCCACCTCTGGTTCCGCCACTGGCTCCACTTTTCGTAATGTTGGGGTATCCGAAGCTAGCAAAAGCCTAGATTTAGCCAGCTACTGCTAGGCTAGGCTTGGCTAGTTTTACGCAACATTACCACTGTTAATCTTGTGTGTTCACAGATGTACGCCTTGTTGGTGGTCCAACCTCCAATAAAGGCACCGTTGAAACCAGGGAAGATGGCGGTGCATGGGAGACAACATGCGGAGCATATCTTGATTTTCATAACGTCATTGCCATATGCAGACAGTTGAGATTCACAGGAGCAAATATAGCAATAACAAACACACCTTATGGACAGAATTCAACTCCAACCAGAGGGTTCAATTGTAATGGAGGTAATGACATATAATTTCAACTTTTGAAAATGTTATTGCCTATTCTGCCTGTTTACCACTTCTAGGAGGAAACAATACAACTTAAATATATGTGCGAGTATACTACGGGTCCTCAAAAACACATGGAAAAATAGATTTGGGAGATCTTGCCCTTTAAATAGAACTAGAAGATTTTGCAGATATACGCTACAGTGCTGTATAACCTGCATGCAATGCATACACGATAGCTGGCTTCCCATAGGCTACAGCCAGCCCGGCGATCGAGCTGGTATACCCGTGAATCGCAAACTGGACTGATCTCAGTCTTTCCTCGAGTTCTCTTTTCCCCGTTTATTTGGTACGACGACTTAATTTATCAAAAATCATGAAATAATCGGCCTAATCACACATCTTCGTAATGAATATCTGGACGATTTTATTCATAATTGACGCCTATTTTGCTCCAAAAGAATTGTAAGGTTAGCATGAAAAATGCCCTTCGCACTCCCAGATCAGACACATACACAGGCGCGTACGCAGGGGTGGGGGGGGGGGAGGGTTTGGGTGGGTTAACCCCCCCCCCTTTGGTAATTTTATGTATGTAAACCCCCCCCCCCTAAAAAACCTAACCCCCCCTTTTGAAAGAAAAATTATGCACACCTTACCTTACCCCCCCCCCCCCCAACTGAGCAAAATGTCAAATTTCCAAATTTCGAGACCCCCCCCTAAAAAAAAGTGACCTCTTACCCCCCCCCCCCCCCCCCCCTTGAAAAAATCCTGCGTACGCGCCTGCACATACACGCTAACTTTCCCTCAGAATATATGATTGTATTTCAGATTCTTATGCCCAAATGTTATGGGAAATAACGTAAAACCAAACAAACATTTGTGAAACTATTATCTATGCGCTGTATGTCATTTAAAGGGCCACTGGCGGTAAATATACAAACATATATCTAAAAACTGCAATGGGCATCCAACATTGTCCTGAATGTGTGATGTAGAGTAGTTCACACCGTGACGTCACCGTTATCGCCGCATGTGTTTTAATATCACCGTCATCAATGTAGTTTGAATATATTGTTGTGTGACTGGTGTTAAAATGGATCGTATATTCATATAATGTTCTTTCCATTTTGATATTTCAGATGAAGCTGACTTGTCAGAGTGTATATTGAAACCAACAGGATGCGAAACAGCAGGAGCAGCTTCGTGTCATGGTAACTTCTTCTAGTGAAATGATATTACCACCTTTTAGCTCGTGAAATCAGATTACACAAAATACAGAGAATTACGTAAGAATAAATAAAGAGTCACTATATAAAAAAGTCAGAAACTATAATGGCACTATTAATACAATTTCGTGGGCTAAAAAACAATATCCATCCGATTATTGGGGGAGGGCGGACTTCAAGCTGAAACTGATAACGAACCCCAGATGAAATATTTTCTTCGAAAATTAACTTTAAAATTTTGTAGTCTAATATATGCTGAATGTTATTACGGAAATCATGCTTTGCGCCAAAAATAAATAAAGCAACGATCTGAGCAATTGATCAAACATATCTCCTAGTTTATTAGTAACTGTGATAAAAGGTGAAATGATTGTTTATATAAAGAGGATGGGACTTTTCATATATTGTCCCACCGCAGCTATGTTTATAGGGTTATATCAATGGTTATATCATCATCATTTCGTATCATCATACCGCTATGATATGCCAATATGGACTAAAAATGTCATCGTCAGTCTCCTCCCGACTTTGTGAAATAAGGTACAACTTTAGAACGTGTTTATCATAAATGAAGGGTACCACCATTCATCAACTGATAACAGGTTCTTCCACGCATAACCCGTTACCCCCTTCCATGTCTCTCTATTTATTTATTTTTTTTTAATAATTAAAAAAATGTTTACATCTAGTATGTTCCAACAATAAACATCACTGTTCCTATGGTGTAACACTTAAATAGCCTATCCAATGAAAATACAACATGATATAAATTGAAAACTGAATTAATGTAGAATACGAATATAAAGGAATACAAAGTATTTACCCTTTCCTAGTTTATTGCACAAAAGCAAATTAAAACCTCATTTTCCACACACCTCCAAATTACGGGTCAACAGGGTTCAAATTTGCCGAAGTATACAGTGACGACATAACATGTGGACCCCCATCGGTTCACCTATATAGCTGAGGTGATGAGCCGTGCTTAATTAATGCAAAGTCATTGGCCCGTATTCTGAAGTCGTGTCTACTCCTGTTTAACTAAACACTTGTCTAAGTCCTGTCTAAGTCCTGTCTAAGTCCTGTCTAACTTTAGACACGAAGTCGTGTCTAACTTTTTTCGTATTCTGAAGTCGTGTTTGAATAAAGTTAAACACGAAGTCCTGTCTAAGTTCTGTTTAACTTTAGACAACTGCGAGGGGTTGTTTAAGTCCTGTTTAAAGGGCGCGATTCTGCTGCTTTTCAACGTCGAAGGTACACTTTACTTGCAGACCCCGAACTTGCGGGGGAGAACGATGGTACGTGCATCCTCTAAAATTTGAAATACATTTTGCAGGATTTTTTCTCGTGTAGCCTAATGTTTTTTTCTCGATAATATTAACAATTTTTATCTACTGGTGAAATCTTGGAAATTCCATAATCTTTAATAAGCTAACAATTATGTTGGAGAAGTTTCTTTTCTGGTTTTCCGAGCACTGAGGCACTGATACTGTAAAGTGTGTTTGTCAATGCATGCAGTGTGTACGTACCAAAGAACTCAAACGTACACAGTACAATGCAGTCTAGTCATTATTACGTCACGATCACATCACCATTGTACCAGCATGCGCACAGCTAGCTGTGCGCGTTAATTTTTTTATCCAGTGCGCGCACGCATGCGCTTTGGGTCTATCGTCAGAATTATCGCCTACTGAGCATGCGCAGAAGTCGTGACTAAAAGTTAAACACGACTTGCGCAGAACTTAAACAGTTGTTTAGTTAAACACGACTTAGACAGGACTTAAACAGTTGTTTTATAGTTAGACGAGACTTACACACGACTTCAGAATACGAAATTTAGTTAGACAGGACTTAGACACGACATCGCGTCTAAGTCGTGTCTAAGTCCTGTCTAACTAAACAGGTGTTTAACTTTAGACATGGCTAAGTTAGACACGACTTTAGAATACGGGCCAATGTGAATATGCGTACTCCACATAAAATGATGTCATCAAGTCGATAGCAAGTTTTTAGGTCGACAAATTACTCATGATTTTCAAAGCTTTAGATTTTTGAGTTTTCAGAGAGCTGGTACTCCTCTGACAGGCACTAAAATTTGATATTATTGTAATCTATGGCTTAAAGGTATTACAAAGTTTTGGTATGGGGTCATGAATTTGGTTCAAATTAACATATTGGAAGCATATGCGTTCCTACACTATTCATTGATCGTTGTCCCGGTTGAAATCGAGTCTAAAGTTAGGAAATTATAAATAATAAACTATTTATGTTGTATAGCTCCCTCTCAAGGTCAAGATATTAATTTAGCTATGAAACAATGTTTCTTGACTAAAATCGACCGATTAGCTATTCCCGTTTGGAAATTATATATCACAACTACATATTCTGAGATTTTCATGGTCGCAGCTACCATTGTACGGCCGTAGGCGCTATTTGAAATTTATCAAAATTTACCGGGAGCACAGGTAAATTTTGGTATTCAATTTTTTTCGAAAACAGAAGTGTTTTGGGGGTTAAGTTTTTTAGGGCTTATAATACATCCACAGGGGCATACAAATATATCAAAATTGTAAAGATTCATTATCCACCCAACTTTCAAAATTTCCCAAAACTTTGTATTACCTTTAAAGCTTTCCGTTCCTATATAATTAATCCATTCCATTTTTCAGTTCGGATATGACCTTTAAGAACTATGAAGGAAACATTATAGTATTAATGACTGCTTTGAGAGAAATAATTGTTTTTATACGCTCAAGGGAAGGTTAGAATTGTGCTATTACCCGAGGCGTGCCGATATTAAACCAGTCATTAATACTTTTATATGCCGAAAAAAAAAATTTAAAAAAAAAAATTGTCGAAGATGGGATTAGAACTCTTGCGTACAAAAGGTGATGTTACTAAAGTCAGCGCATTAATCCGCTCGGCCAGCGCGCTCTGTCACCATGCACAGTAGTTTTCTTTAATATATACATTAAAATGAATTGAAAACGGCTTCGCGTGGTCGATACTTCGCCGCTGCTCCATTAAACGGGCACTTCTTTTACTTTTGGAATGCATATTGGCACGAACTTAGATCAAGATCTATCGGCAAATGTTGTTTTTTTGTTTTTGGAAGTTTATTTTCGTCTTCATGTCAACAATGCAAGATAAAATTGTCGGTAAGATCGATCGAGATTCAATTGTATTGAAATTACCGACCAATTCTTCGCACACGTACGGTATCCTCGATCGCTCAGACCATTTTTTAACATGTAAACCTATGGGGTAACCATGGAGACTGACCTATTTTCCCAATAACCATGGTTATTGGGATTTTGAACTGTTTTTTAACCATGGTTACCGGGAATTTTCGGGAACAGTTAAAGTTTATGAATGCAATTTCGACCAATCAGATTGCTGGATTACTTATATGATAGATAACATTAAAATACGCGCATCGCATCTACCTTATCTATTTAATGCCGTTCTATTGCTAAGCTCCCTAAGAATGCGTCGAGTATTGTGCTAAAAAATCTACAGTCATAAAGATATGACCTTTAAGAACTATGAAGGAAACATTAGATAACATTAAAATACGCGCATCGCATCTACCTTATCTATTTAATGCCGTTCTATTGCTAAGCTCCATAAGAATGCGTCGAGTATTGTGCTAAAAAATCTACAGTCATATAAAGAGTATTACAAATTTATTTACATCAGAAAAACTGTTAAGCTGATTAATGTAAATGGTGGTGTTTGTTTTACCTGACTACTGAGAGAGCATAAATGCTTGTAAGTAAGTAACCAGACGGGCGACGGCATTAGGTCCTCTCCGAGGGACCTGGTAATAAGGATTAATGCCTGATATTTTAAATAATACCAGCATTGCCACCCAAAACATTCACAGCAAAATATGCTTTGATGGTTGGTCCATGCGATCCATTTGACATTCCACCAAAGAAAATCCCGTCAAAGCGAGTATTGTTCGAGTAGGCAGAGATTTTGACCGTGTTAAAGCCACACTGTCCTACTTGTAGCTACTTGCTCCCTCTATATAAAAAAAAACAATGCCTAATCGGTGACCATTGGTCCCCATGATCCTTTGTTACGTTATTTTAGAGCAGAGTTGATGAGATAACCACCTGTGCAATAACCTTGCAGGGTGTTCTAATCTCTCCCATAAACTAGTGCAGATAAGCTTTAAAGTGAAAATGTCATTAGAAAATGCCAAATAGCATTTTTTTTTTTCTTACTTATCTGGCCCCTCGATGCCAAAATAATATGGGGTGGCCCAATTATTGTTATATGTTACAAATTATCTGGGGCTGTAGTCCACAGCTCCTCACTTCATAAACCAATGTTTATTACTTTAGTCGCATTACCAGGCGTTAATGTGATTCCTAACAGGTGATGGATATCTCGGATAATTTGAGCATAATATGAATCACATAGTGTTACTTTGCGACGGCAACATCGGTACAGCGATGAGTATTTCTTGTTGCATCTAGGTTTGTAACGAGTCCATTTAAGGCGGGATGCGTTTTTGTACGATTGCATCATGCTATTGTTGTTTTTTTTCTAATATTATGCAGGTGAAGGTTATCTTGGATGCTTTGCGGAAAAACACCCTGATCCAGTTTTATCTGGTATTCACGAACCCAATAATTCAAATATGACCATTTCTTATTGCATCGACATTTGTATGAGCTCTAGCTCAGCTAACTATACATACGCTGGAGTTGAACGTGGATACGAATGTTTCTGTGGTGAGGCCAGTGATAACTATACCCTACATGGAATTGTATCAGATGATTATTGTGATTTCAAATGTTCAGGAGACCCTACCGAGAGCTGTGGTGGGGTAGGATTCATAGCTATCTTTACGAGTGAGTATATTATGGAGATTTGTATGTATAAACTTACACATATACATCCCCCATTGATAATGTGCTGCGACCAATACCGTCAACATTTTTACTGCCTAAAATATGGTTTAAATAAGTATTGCTCAATCATACATAAGTTTATGGCTGTTATGCCTATCATTATGTTCGAGAGACCCATATCATAGAAACCCTGCGTCTCAGTGTTCCCCCCCCCCCCCCATTTTCATATTTGTTTTTTTCTAACATTAGCATTCATTAATTTACAGCAAATGAATAAAGTTTCTTTGTAATTTCGAAGTGAAAATGACTTATACCGTGGCCTGTGTGTAATGTTAGAGACTTACCTTGTAACTCGTCTGTTTCACGTATATGTAGTTCACGTCGAGACTAGTGAAACGACACCCGCCGTCGTGTCAACTGCGAAGGTTGACGAAGTGACCATTCAACTAAGCTCAGAGATGACCAGTCATACCAGGGATGCTGTGACGTCATCAACAATGACCACACTCTTGTCCACGCCCACAACGCTTCAACAAAATTGCAATTGTTCTTGTAGGCGTTGTCATTATTTTACTGATCGCGACCATCATTGTCTTGGTAATATACATCCTCCGAATTCGAAAGTGAGTATCACATTTTCTTTATAAACGTTTTTGTTTCCTATTTGGCAAAGAGGACGCCAAAAAAAGGAAAACAGAATAGCAATATTAGTTGGCAATTGTCATCAATACCACACATAGGTAGAGGTAGAGGTATCGTAGTGATGTGGTTTTAAACACTTGACTTGAGATGCGGAAGTTGTGGTTTCGAGCCGGGACTCGGCACTTATTATCCTCGCCAAGACATTATTCTACGTTCGCCACTCTTCATCAAGGTACTAATGGTTACCGGTATGAAGGAATTTCTCTGAATGCCGTTAGCACCGAAAAGGGTAGCTTATATAGCTCTTCTAGATTACAATAATATGGGATCGTCTTGCGCACATTGCACGGCGTATATAAGCGTTGTGTAAGTATATTGATGGCATTCGTGTCCACTACATTTAGGTTTCATGTTTATTATTTCATGAACACGTGAGATGTTCATAAGAAATTCATAAGAAACTCCCCCTCTCACCAAATATGAAATATCAGGTCTATAATTTCTTCACAGTACTTTCTGCAACTCGTCCCTATTCGGCCATTCATTTTACCCCTTTTTCGTCTCATAGAAAACAAGACTCTAATCATGGTCAAACCCCACACGATATGACTTTGGTCCAGGCCTCAAGTACGCAGGACAGAGATACCGGTTTCTATCATGACATTCCGGACATCAGAACACCAGTCCCATCATCAACACCTGCTGGCGGTTCTCACTATTCCTCGAATATATATGCCACAGATCCTGCCGATACCGGCATACCAACATAATCCACACAATGCTCTACCAGGATCGCGAAAGACGGACTTGCTCCCGACACCGTGGCAATGAAAAAGAAAAAAACTGGGAAGGATGCAGATCCATATGCTGAGATACTTTAGTCACGTGAACAAAGTCACAAAATCATTTCTCAGAAAGTCACTACTGATAAGAGGTAGACAAATGTTCATTCAAAGTGTACACATCTATAAATTTAGATGCAAAAAAAAATATCCGGCTTTGCTGATAACTTCTGGTAAACGGGAAAATGTGTACATACACTGTTGGTCATAACGGTGGAATATTTTTGTTTTACCCCAATTTAAGGAATGATTTTGAGAATGTGTGTGCGTGTGTTGTGTTTTTACAGAGGTGTGTCAATCAGTTATGATTATTTACGTCTGGGGGGCCGACCTCTAAACGTCACCATCCGAAAGACGTGACTCAGTTTCGAACCTGCGTCCTCGGCTGAATCAGTTTGTAACTTGCACTGTTAGCTGCATTACGTGATTTAAGTGTTTCTTTAAATAGTAGCATAGACGTATATTGTTCACTACATATTTAGCAATAGACAAAGGCAAATTTATTTATTTTTAGCGTTATAGCCCTCCATAGGCTATTTTATTGAGTCAAACAAACATTTTAACTCAAACAAAACAGAATAAAGACAAAGATGAATGAAAAAGAAATCCCAGTTTAGATATGACATTGTTTTTAGCGATATAATGCTAATAAGTCTATCTGACAATTTGAATGCTTGTAAAAAAAATGGCTGTGTAGTTGGTGGTATGATAGTCAATCATTTAATGTATGCAGATAATCTCGTTATTATTAGCCCGTCAACTGCTTGGTTGCTGAATTTGCTCAAGATTTGTTTTGGTTATGGATATGATAATGATGTCGAATATAATGCACAAAAGAATCATGTTATGATAATCAGATGTAAGGAACACCGTACACTGTTAAAACAAGTATTAAAAAACTGCGGGTTAAAAAATTGTTGATTAAAAAACGTTCAACCATGGTTAAAAATGTAGTGTTGATTAAAATTTACTTTTAATCTTGCGTTGGTTAAAACAGTGTTGATCAAAATTATTTCTTTTAACCTATGTTGGTTAAGTCTAAGTCGTTGGCAAAAATTGTAGCCCAGCATGGATTAAAAACAAAATTCCGACAATAATGATAGCCCCCTTCTGGTTAAAGTTTAATCAATGTTGATTAAAGTACTGGTCACGTGACCCAATGGAACGATATCGAATCGCGTAGCTAGCGATCGCTCGACATACAAATAATGCACAGTACATGCAGTTTACGCGTGCGACAAAATTAACAATGGAGGTTGTCGCGAGGACCTGAGAAATGGGGGTTTGGACGGTCTTATCTCCGCGTTTTCAGGAAAGAAATTATTTTAATATTATCATCATCAATTCTAAGATTGTAAGGAAGAAGTGAAATAAGGTTCTTGTTCAAATCAAAAACGATTTGTGTCCCCTAGGCTGTACGTAGCTCAACCAATAATAAGTAACATTTTACTTGCACCGTGCACCTGGCTCTCGTAAGCACACACACACTCGTCAGTCTGCAACAATCTTCAACCGTGAAGGAGGCAGACCCAATTAAAGAAGGAGAAGTGTAGGCCTATTACGGATCACCTACCCAAATTGCATGCATGAATAATAATCTTATTTTTTAAATCTAATTGTATCTAATTGTTTAAAACAATTAAATATAAAATAAGATGTCATCATAAAGTGAAACGTCTAATTATGCATGCAATTTGGGTAGGTCATCCGTTACACTTACTGGCTGAGCTACAACCTACGGGTCGGGACACAAAGTGTTTTTAATTTGAGCAAGAACCTTATTTCACTTCTTCCTTACAATCTTAGCATTGATGATAATCATATTAAACAATTTCTTACCTGCAAACACGAGGATAAGACCTCTAATCCCCCGTAAGTTTAACCAACAGTGGTTAAAAACTGTAACCAACAACCCACTAAAGTTTAACCAACATCGTGTGAATCAAAAAAGAATTAACCTACAATGGTTACAATTTTAACCAACGACCCATGTAAGTTTAACCAACATCATGTGAATCAGCCCCGAACAAAGCATAAATAACCAACAAAAGATTAAAGTTTTAGTCAACAAATGGTTAAAGTTTAATCAACACCATTTTTAACCAACATTGAGCAATTTTTTTTAACCAATAATTGATTAAAAATTGTAATCAACCACAGGTTAAATTTTAATCAACAGGCTGTTGGTTAAAGTTTAACCAACGATTGTGTGATTCACCTGGTAATCCGTGGTTGATTAAAAGTTTAAAGGTAATACAAAGTTTTGGTATTGGGTCATGAATTTGGTTCAAATGAACATATTGGAAGCATTTACGATCCTACAATATTCAGTGATCGTTGTCGCGGTCGAAATCGACTCTAAAGTTATGAAATTTTAAATAATAAACACTTTATGTTGAATAGCTCCCTCTCAAGGTCAAGATATTAATTAAGTTATAAAACAATGTTTATTGACTAAAATCGACCGATAAGCTATTCTCGTTCGGAAATTATATATCACAACTACACACTCTGAGATTTTCATGGTCGTAGCTACCATTTTACGGCCGTAGGAGCTATTTGAAATTTATCAAAATTTACCGGGAGTACCGGTAAATCTTTATATTCGATTTTTCTCGAAAGCAGAAACGTTTTAGGGGCTAAAATTTCTGGTGTTTTTAATTCATCCACATGGGCATCCAAATATATCAAAATTGTAAAGAATCACTAACCACCCATTTTTCAAAATTTCCCAAAACTTTGTAATACCTTTAACCAACTTGATTAAAAATTGTAATACTTGTTTTAACAGTGTAGATTGGTATTCCCGGATTTGTATTTATGTGGAGCTTAACCCAATGTCTGTACAGAGGTCATGTATGTTGGTAATTTCTTTACTGAGGAACTCAATGATGATAAAGATATTAGTCGACAGTGTCGTAAATTATATGCTCAAGGTAATATGCTTGTTAGGAAATTTCATTTGTGTTCTCCGGATGTGAAGGTGGCTTTATTTAGGGCTTTAACTGTACACCTCTGGACACTGCGCATATGTGGTGTAATTTTAAGAAGAGCAGTTTGTACAGGCTTAATGTGGCCTATAATGATGCCATGATTATGCTTCTTAGCGTACCTAGATACTTTAGTGCTAGTCAAATGTTTGCTGAGTTGAATTTTCCAGCCTGTTCGACTGTATTACGAAATCTCATGTATAAGTTCATCCAGAGAGTGGATGTATCTGAGAATGGTATTTTAAAGGTGTTAGTGAACCCCTCGTATAATTGTCTTAGGTACACATCGGGCCTCTGGAAATGTTGGCTGAATAGCATGCAGACAGATGGGAATTGATCATTATGTTGCAGTTATCAAGGATTATCCAGTCTCCAGCCTCTCTTGGTTGCAGTAAAGTCTTTGTTGTTTGTTCCAATATCTAGTTATCTATTATTATTATATTCTTCTGGTTAGTTGAGCAGAGATTGTTACAAGTTACAACTTCAATATATTGTTATACTTATTTTAATTTTACAGTTACAGATACAGCTTAGAGTTAGAGTGCTATACTGCAATCAACCTTACATATACTGTTTACATGTAATACACTGTTTATACTCAGCTCTTTCCCCTATATATCTGTGTAAATAATTTTTATGGACCTCTGCTTTGTGCAGCTGAGTTTGAAATAAAGTTCTGAATTGAATTGAAAAAAATGAATTACTTGCTGCCAGCCGAAGATGGCGTGATCATTAAATTATGACGTACGACTGGGCTGGTGAGCGTATATATAAGTTCGTTGATAGCGCCATCTTCGGCATTATGAATCAATGTTGAAGGGAATATAAAATATGAAGAATCGGCCAGATTCTGGACTATATAGGTGCCAGCACCTCGGACGGTCCGTCGATTTTTTTTTTTTTTTTTTCCTCTTTGGGATGATATTTTTCATTTTTAGATGCCTTATTACATATTTTTGGTATTCATGAAACATTTTTTCCTTAAAAAACGGTTTAAAAAATATCAATAAAATGCCGACCGTTGGGGTCGATCACAAAAGGCAATACATTGTTGTGTATTAAATGAAGGAGGGTCCACTGGTTATTTCAAAGTAGAAAGGGGAGTAAGACAGGGAGACCCTCTTTCTTCGTACCTCTTTATCTTGTGTATTGAAGTAATGGCACACAAATTACGAATAGATAAATTGGTGGACGGAATTAATTTTGGAGATAAGGAAACTAAACTAGTACTTTATGCGGATGATATGACAATTTTTGTTCGCAATAAAAAATCAATTAATAGGTTAAAAGTATTATTTGCAGATTTCGAAAAAATTTCTGGACTGAAAATAAACAACGACAAGACTAAAATATTAAGGTTAGGTTTATGTCAACGTTTAGATTGTGATTTTGCTTTTGGCGAAATAGTTGACTTTCTTAAGGTTTTAGGGATTTTCTTTTCCCTCGATGAACACAAGAAAAAAGATCTAAATTATAAAGAAATCTGAAGTAAAATAAAAACACTTTTAAATTTTTGGAAGCAAAGGGATTTAACACTTATGGGTAAGATTCAACTATTGAAAGTGCACATTTATTCTAAAGTTCTTTATCGGGCGTCACTTACTCCTGTTCCAAAATGGGTTTATGATTCACTGGATGAATTAACTTTTGATTTCATATGGAAAGGAAAAACAGATAAAATCAATAGAAACACCATGTTCTTAGACTATAACCAAGGGGGGTTAAAGATGTTAAATTTTTCTGCACAAGTTAAATCGCAGCGAATTATGTGGATTCAAAAACTTCTAAACAAAGATGAAGACATGAAATGGAAACAATATTTTAACTTTGTCACTGAACACGTGGGTGGAGATTTGATATTTTCATGTGACTATATACCAAGTTTATTAAAAGTGACAGCTCCACAATTTATATGGATTTATTAGAAGATTGGGTGAATACGAGACATATAAGGAGTATAGCCATTCGTGATGTGGTAATTTTTAATAATAAACTTATTCGATATAAAGGAAGTTGTATATACGATAAGAGGTTGTATGACAAAGGAATTTACAAATTAAAACATATTCTGGAAAACGATGGTAAACTAAAAAGTGACAGGCATTTTATCGATTTAGGTGTTGAAGTAAATGAAATTGAAAAAATCAAGCACTTTTATGCCTGTTTACCAGTTTGTTGGAAAAATAATTTTAAAAAGGGAGAAGAAAAAAATAATTCTGGAACTGATTTCACTTTGGGGAAGAAAACAACTAATATAGCTGATTTAAAATCAAAACAAATTTATGTACAATTAATAAAGAAAGATGATTTTAAACCTTTGGTTTTTGAGAGAATTGGAAGGAACTATGGTTTTTCCTGTAAGGAAATAGAAAACATATTTTTAAGACTAAGACAGTGTACACTTAACAGTCGATTAAGAGAGTTTCAGTTCAAACTTATACATAATATATTATATACAAACCATCACCTCTTCCGTTTTGGTCTTGTCTCGACTAACTTATGCTCATTTTGCGAAAAAGATGAAGAAACATATAAACATTTATTTTATACTTGTGAATTTGCACAATCAGTGTGGGAAATGTGCACGAGATTTTTAGACTTTGAAATACATAACTGTAGTTTGGAGGAAATTCTGTATGGGAAAGAGGAGAGAAATAAAGGAAAATATCAATTAATGAATCATGTTTTAATTCTTGTTAAATATCTGATTTATAGAAATAGAGAACTTAAAAAACCACCCTCTTTTAATGAAATAAAGAATAGTATAATAGGGGATAAAGTAGAAGAAAGGAAATTGGCAGCAATGAGGGGAACTCTCACTATTCATTTTTCTAAATGGGAAAACCTGAGTATTAGACAAACAATTGGAACCCAGAGCCAGTCGTCCACCGGTTAAGAAGGGGGGGGGGGAGGGGGATAAGGGAGAGGTCGGGTAGGGTAGGGTTAACAAAAAGAGAAAACTTTTCTCTCAGAACAGTATAAAAAGAAGTATAAGTTGCTACATTGTTAAAACAAAAAAATTTGGATTATACAACTGCATATGTTTTCTTTGAAAATATGAATTTTTGTTTCAAATATGATGTATAGGAACTAACTATGTAAGTTTCTTTTGAAGCCGTTTGTAAGACAAAAATTTATACTGATTTATAATGTCATCACATTTGCAATGAGAGTTACATATGATGATTGTAATTTGTACTATGATTATAATTTGTTTCAAGAGAGAAAAGAATAAAAACTGACCATAAAAAAAAAAATACATAATTTTTTTTTTTTTGTTAAAGGTATAGACCAGAAAAGGTTGATTATCTAGCAAAAAGGTATTGGTGTGTACTGCAAAGCTCTGGAATCATCAAACTGATCAGAAATTTGGTCAAAACATATTCTTTCACATGATGGTAAAAAGTGCTTCCACTTCATTTTATTGAAATTGAGGTGTTTCCAAAATTGTTCCATACCTTTAAGCGTTACGGGAGTTTAGCCAACCCGGTTAGAGTTTGGCACAATATGGCGAATACTGCTTTGTTGGGCGAACACAAAACAGAAAAATACACGCCATCTAGTGACCTACTGAAACGAAGAAGGTGAAGCTCTGTGTATAGGTGGCCCTTGTGGCAATCATGGAACTCCGGTATTACTGTGGTTTGTTAGATTGTAGAAGAAGCAGGATTACCAACAACTGTCTGTAAACATATGAAGCAAAACATCTATTTGAAATATTTTGTGGCGTCTGGATATTGTTTTATTTGGCAACAAAAATAAACAAATAAATTCTTCAGATATTACTGTTCTGTTCTGTTCTGGTTATATCTGTATTTTAAGGTTCTTGGTAATCAACACGAAAAAGGCAGTCAGATTGTAAGAAACGTGTAAACGTTTAGGTGAATGGCACGTGTAAACTGTGTAAAACGTAACACGATAAATTCAAATACAAAATTTCTCCGGCTGCCTATAATCATGAATTATTCTTTATATCTCATGCTGCACTAAAAACATACATGTATTACATTACTAGTTAATTATGCTATTTATGTTGGAAATGGCTTTAAAAAATTACAAATCATCGCGATTTCGAAAACTATATTAATATAAGATAATCTGAGTATTCGATGAATATAAGTAAATGATCCAATCCGAAATACGAAAAACTAATTATATTTTAAAGATAAAGTATGAGTACGGTCACGTGATAAAATGGTGAAAGAAACAGGATACAGTTGACATGGTTGGGACATGTTGATTATGCAGTACATACGAACTGATGTGTCATTTTGGCTAGACATTAATCTACATTCGCTAATCCATACCCAGGAGAGAAATGGGGACCTGTTAGAACGACGAAAGGTTTTGTGATATACTGTCACGGTGACCATACAGTATTATATACCTCACTTAAGAAATCCAGCCATCTGATTGGTCGAATTGCATTCATAAACTTCAACTGTTCCTGTAAAATTCTCGGTAACCATGCATAAAACATTTCAATATTTTTAATAACCATGGTTATTAAAAACAGTTGGTCAGCCTCCATGGTTACCCCATAGGTTTACATGTTAAAAAATGGTTTGAGCGATGGAGGATGCCGTATGTGTGCGAAGGATTGGTCGGTAATTTCAATACAATTGAATCTCGATCGATCTTACCGACAATTTTATCTTGCATTGTTGACATGAAGACAAAAATAAACTTCCAAAAACAAAAAAACAACATCTGCCGATAGATCTTGATCTAAGTTCGTGCCAATATGCATTGCAAAAGTAAAAGAAGAGTCCGTATATGGAGCTTTTGCGAAGCATTCATCACACGCGAAGCCGGTTTCAATCCATTTTAATGTATATATTGGAGAAAACTGCCAAGCATGTTAACGGCGGGCCATAGCCGAGTGGTCTAAGCGTTGGTTTTCGATACACCTCTTGTTGTACGCAAGGGTTCGAATCCCGTCTTCGACAAAAAGATAAATATTTTTGATTTTTCATTTTTTAGTCTATTTTTTTTCGGCATATAAAAGTATTAATGACTGCTTTAATATTCGAGAAATAGTTGTTTTATTACGCTCTCGGGAAGGTTAGAATTGGGCTATTCCCCTCGGCAAGCCTCGGGGAATAGCACAATTCTAACCTTCCCTTGAGCGTAATAAAACAACTATTTCTCTCAAAGCAGTCATTAATACTATATTATTATCCCGTTCATGGGATTCATTCACGCACACAGCACTGCTCAGTGTGCACACTTCTACTCTCTGGCGAATAGTATAGTATTAATGACTGCTTTGAGAGAAATAGTTGTTTTATTACGCTCAAGGGAAGGTTAGAATTGTGCTATTCCCCGAGGCTTGCCGAGGGGAATAGCCCAATTCTAACCTTCCCGAGAGCGTAATAAAACAACTATTTCTCGAATATTAAAGCAGTCATTAATACTTTTATATGCCGAAAAAAAATAGACTAAAAAATGAAAAATCAAAAATATTTATCTTTTTGTCGAAGACGGGATTCGAACCCTTGCGTACAACAAGAGGTGTATCGAAAACCAACGCT